ACCTACTTCATATAACTATGACTGTCTACACTACTATCTCTATTATGATTATCTATATTCAATAGACAATATTTATAAAGAATTAATGAAAACTCAACCAATAGAATTTGCAGTAGTTGTCATTGTGCTGGTTACAATTAGCCATATCAATGACTAGGCTATTCCTTGTGAACAGTTACAATTAAGAACAAGTAGATACCCCACACACTATGTTTCTAAACTTCTGATGCATCTCATTGTAAGTAAATCCAGTACATGAAATTTTATTTTCTTTTTTTTATTTTAGAGAGAATAAGGGAAGAGAGATAGAAACATCAATAATGATAGAGAATCATTGATAGGCTGCCTCCTGCACGTCCCCTACTGGGGATCAAGCCTGCAACCCGGGCATGTGCCCTTGACCGGAATTGAACCCTGGACCCTTCAATCCGCAGGCTGACGCTCTATCCACTGAGCAAAACCGGCTAGGGCCAATACATGGAATTTTAAACTTACAAAACAAATAAGTAATGAGGGATTGTTTTTTCTTGAAACATGATTCATAGGCCTTTTTTGTAGCAAAGAGCATTTGGTTTACTTTTAATTTTGCAGAAATAGATGTATGACATAGAGCAATTATTTGTGTATTGTCTTAAGCAGACAGAAAGGGTCACCAGTAGGTGACTTAGTTATAGTGAGGATCTGGATCACTAATAATTTTTAAATGTTGGCTCTTTCAAAGGCATAAAGAGAAGCCAAACCCTGGTTTGTCTGTTCTAAGCAGATTCTGAACTGCTTAAATGTGATGACATAGACCAATATTTGAGGTTAAGGATTGCTTGTAGATTCGTGCTTTCTCCTTTAATCCATTTTTGAGATAACTCCAGCATAAATAATGTGCAGGCACAGAAGAGGGTTGAAATGGCTAAAGATATTCTATTCAGTGCTATTTCAGTGCTTAGTCAAACACTAACGTGTCTGATGTTTCTGGTAATACATTTATTTTATGAAAAGGATATAAGATCAAGAGACTTCTGTGGCAACTGTTCCATATATAAATGAGAGATGCAAACCATCCCAAATAAAATATGCCAATCTGCTGTCTTCCAAATATTTCCAATAATCCTTTAAGTCTAGGAACAAACATTAAATTCCTGAATAAATTCTCTTATCTTTAAAATCGGCTCCAACGTTTTGGAAACCTTAGCTTTTAAATATTAACCAAAAAGAGTTTCCATCCAGTCATTTGGAAACACAACTCAAATTCACGTTAACTTTAACCAAGGCAGAGATGTTGTTTTGTGATCTTTCACTGACCCCTGACTGATTCCTAAGCACTCTGGCCACACTGAATATTCCAAAGCATCTTCACCTTCGAGTCCTCACCCACCACTGTTCCACTTCACTCGACAGTGGCTCCCACCTGATGTTGCTAAGATCTAGTGTATTTAACATGTCATCTAAATCACTGTGCTGATATCTACACCCTCTTCAGCCCCCATTACTCGTCCAGCATCCGAACAAGTGGTGACTTTCTTCTTCTTCTTTTTTTTTTTTTTCCTTTTTATTGCTTAAAGTATTACAAAGGGTATTACATATGTGTCCTTGACTTTCTTCTTCTTCAAGATGTACCGCTTTGCTTGGTTTCTCAATCTTATTCCCAGAAGCATCTCCCAAATTATTTTTTTCTGATTGTCGTTCAAAAATACATAGCTTTCCCCTATACTTTCCCTGAATATTTTGCTATTCAGTTAGTTCTACACTAACAGTGTCCCTGCCCAAATCTTTGATTTCTCCTTTAAACCTGACATCTACCCTCACTTCTCTACTGACACAAATCCAAGGGCCTGTCGTCTCTCTCTCTGACACTTGGGACTTTGGTGAACACACTGGGCTCAGTCCTAACTCTAAACCTTTGCTCCTTATGTGGCCCCACCTGAAATCTTTCCTCTTCTTCATTTATCTCAGTCCTACCCATCCTTAAAGGTCCAGCTTGAGCCCCTTTTCACCTGTGAAGTCTCAGCAGAACTGCTCTTCTCTGAGATCCTGTAATACTGTCAACAGGACCCAATGTAGCACAGAGGTGCACCCAAGTTATGCTCTGAGGAACTACACAGTACCGGCTTCATGCAATCTTGCCTAATTGCTCCTTCTTGGCCAGCAAGTGAGGATGTACCCTAGTCATGCTAACTGGACTCTCCCCTTAAAATATGAATGTTGAATAGAGTGACCAAAAGAGACAATAGATGGAGTTAAGCCACCCCGGCTGCAGGGTCCTGGTGAGCCTGTGTCCCAGTCCCACCCCCTTGATCTTGGGAGATATAGGTTCTGGTCTCCTGGACTTGGCTCTTCCATATTTTTCATTTCTGTGACCCACCCTTTTTCTCTTTTCCCCTTAAGTTGGTCAAAATAAATGTCTCTCCCTATATCCAAATACACTTAAATAGGACTCTCGTATTGTCTTTTATCACTGTTTAATATGAGGGGAGAGGAGCTAATTAAGTCTTGTGAACCAATGAGATACGAAGTTTCTTGAGGGAAGAAACTCTGCCTTAAGACTCTATATAACTTATATAAAATTTTAACAATTCAACTGCATGATAATAATCATATGAAAATCTTCACCCATAAATAAGAATAACTACCTGAGAGCATCTTTTTTATTCTATGTTGCAGTTTAGGATCTTGATTAATTCCATAAACACATCCCAAGTGCCAACTGTTGACCATGCACTATAATAGACATTGAAGTCTTGCACACACAAGATGAAAAAGACAAAAGACAGGGCAGCTGCCTGGCTCCTGTATCTGGAGTTCTTTTCAGTTTAACTGTGTCTTAATGATTATTAGTGCCTAGTGTTAATTTGGCACTTTTATTTCTAAAGTATTTTCAAATGTAACACATCATTTGTTGTTCGTATTATATACAGGGTAAGCTGCTTTGGGTCATGTGACCAAGATCAAAACCAGATCTGCAACAAGCAGATAGGTCCCTTGACTTATTACACTGATGTTCCTTCCTTCCCTCTCTACTACATGAGAAACGTTTCCTTCAGGACACAATTAAATATGGGTATTATATTTTATTTAATTCCCACATTACGTCCAACTCATAGGTTATTCTTTTGTTGCACAAGATAAAGGCAATTTCTGAGTTTTTGCTTGAGGAAATCGACAGAAGTATTAGCTGGTTCTGGGACATTTGACTAACAAATATTTATGTAGTGCATGCTACATACAGTGCTTTGGGCTCTCCTGTGATGATAACACCACTCAGGACATACATAGTCCCTGCCCTCAGCAAGTTCATGGTCTTGTGGGAGAACAGGTGAGCACCAAGTATGTGCTGGGTGCTAGGATGAGGAAATACAGCATATAGTCATGTTCCCCAAATGTTTATGTTCACAAAGAATCTGAATTTAATTTCTCAGTCTCCCCAATCATTTGTATATTGATTGAAACTTAACGGCCTTGTTCTTCCCCCTTATTTCAGAGCCAATGGCCCTTCATCTTCACAGTATCACCTCTCTCCAAATGTTCCCCTTTCCTCTTCATAGTCTCCTTAATTCCATATTTCTAAAGTGGTTTCCAACATTGTTATGGACCCACAGAGCATTCACACAAATGCTGGTGGACCTTTAATGGTCCTCAGAGCTCTATAAAAAAATATCCTTCCCTGAGAAGCATAAACTTGTCTCTGTTCTATTGTCAAAGCTCCAGGACAGGACCAAAGGGCCAAGAGTCAAAGGGTACACCAGAAATGTCTTCTTTAGGAGTGCTTTTTGGCAAGTAGTATGTCTGAATGTGTCCTTCTGCTGTTTTGCTTCTAGGGTCAACAGAAGTATATAAAACTTCTCAACTTTCTTCAAAACATGTACCATGACACTGACTTAATACAAGGAATAGCAACAGTAGTAGTTAGTTACAATGCAAAACTAGACTAGGACACATCTGTTGAAAGGGGAGTTGATATAAAGACCGGATTTTACCAGCTTAGAGTTCACATTTATCAATTGCTAAAATGTACAATTTTATTGACAGTCTTAAAGATGTTACTGTCATATTTTTTAAAAAGCAATTTGTATAGAGTTTTATTCTTATTTATAGTTACGATTAATGTAGGAAGATTAGGGCACTGCTATGATGATTTGTGGGGGAGGGGAAGTGAGAATAGGAAAAGATTTTATACTATACATTTCTAAACCATTGCAGGTGAGAGACATTTGAAAAACTACAGAATGTAAAATGAGGTCAAGCAGTGATTTAAAAGCCTGTATATTTCTTTGATCATAATACCTAGCACTTTTTCAGGGAATTTGCTAACATTAATTACTCCTTGCAGCATTTTCATTACATAATACCAACAGCTGCATTTTGTCCTCATTGGTGAAGATACATAAAAAGGGACTTAGAAGATTGCTCAGATCTGGACAGAAGTTGGAGGCAGAGCTAGTTTCTAAATCTTGCATTTATAGCACATCATTAAGAGCTCCAGCTTTGAGAAAAGACCAACCCAGGTCCATATTCCAGCTCTGTCACTTAATATCTGTGTGATCCTAGGCAAGCCACTTACTAAGTCCCAGTTTCTCCATCTATAAAATGAGAACATGTGCTAGATTGCAAAAATGGGTCCAATTGTTTACCATTCCCTTTATCTAAGGCAGTGGTTCTCAACCTTCTGGCCCTTTAAATACAGTTCCTCATGTTGTGACCCAACCATAAAATTATTTTCGTTACTACTTCATAACTGTAATGTTGCTACTGTTATGAATCGTAATGTAAATATCTGATATGCAGGATGGTCTTAGGCGACCCCTGTGAAAGGGTCGTTCAACCACCAAAGGGGTCGTGACCCACAGGTTGAGAACCGCTGATCTAAGGCCTTTTGCTATGCTGCTTTCCAGGGCTCTCCCAAGGGATGGAGTGCATAATTCCACCCTCTTAGACCTAGCTATGCGACTTGCTTTGACCAATGACATATTAACACACAAGTTGGAAGCAGAAGGTTGAAATGAACTTACGCAATTAAGCTTGTACAGAGCTTGCAATCGCAATTGCCAGGAGAATATGCTTAGCCCAGTCTATCGGAGGATGAGAGACAAATGGAGGCGCTGAATCTCCTCATTCATCCCAACCACGGCCAGGTTAGCTTAGTCTTCAGTGAGCCAAATCCTATGTGCTGTGAGCCAGTCTAGTCATGATTGGAGATCTGTTGAACAAACCATCTTAAGTGTACAAGCAATAAATAGTTATTTTTGCATGCCACTGAGGGTTTTGGGGGTTTTGTTATCTATCATTGCTGTGACAATAGATAACTGATACATGATGGTAGTACCTATCACATACATATCAATGTAATTGAGAAAATACATGTAAATCACTTAAGCACAGTACCTAATGAAAACAATAACAACCACAATAATAATATGTGCTGTTCTTTCAGAGAAACAATTACAGAATACACAAAGGTATCGGCAAGTCAGTTCATCTGTGGATCCTGAACAAGACCTATCTCATTGAAAAAATTTTTTTATAAAGTCAGGCAATTTTTGTTTCCAATTTTTGTAAAGAACCAAGATGATGATCTAATTGTTTTTTTAAGCTTGTAAGTATCCTGGGATCTGTTCTTATAAGTAAAACACCTCTCTTCTTTCTAGAAGATTTACTTTGCTAAAATTAAAAAACAACAACAACAATAAAAAAAAAACACCCCACCCACACACAGAGTAGGATAAGACATTCAAATTCAAAAAGTACTGACAAAGGCCAAAAGCTAGCCTCATGAATACACACAGTGGAGGGCGTGGCAGGGAACAACACTCACCATCCTTTCTGTTTTTTTCCTATTTGGGTGATCTTGAAATAGTTTAGTTTGCTGGTTGTAAAATGTGAGCTCTAGAGTTCAAATCAGGGGTGGGCAAACTTTTTGACTCGAGGGCCACAATGGGTTCTTAAACTGGGCCGAAGGGCTGGAACAAAAGCATGGATGGAGTGTTTGTGTGAACTAATATAAATTCAAAGTAAACATCATTACATAAAAGGGTACGGTTTGTTTGTTTTTTTAGTTTTATTCATTTCAAACGGGCCAGATCCGGCCAGCGGGCCGTAACTTGCCCACGGCTGGTTTAAATTCTGATTGTGCCCCTTACTAGCCCTGTGATCCTGAGCAAGCTATACTCTATAAACCTCTATAAACTTACTTAAATGGGGAAAAGGACAGTAATCTCCTAAGGTTGCTACAAGAAGCATATACTATCTGCAAAGCCTGTAGAACTGTGCCTGGTGCACAATGAACAGTCAATAAATATTAGCTGTTGCTCGTTAGTTTAGTGAATGAGTCTGTTTTCTGACAACTGCATTTCTAACTTAGCTAGATTATAGAGAACACCACTATCTATGCAAGGTGGGCCTAATTGGCCTTGATTCAAAATAGCCTATTAGTATTGAACTACCTGGACCCACCCTAAATCTAGATTAAAAACTGAATCTCAGGTTTTACACTCCAGTGTAGGGAAAAGTCACACCCATAAGAGAGAAGGAGAAACAGGGTGTGGACACATGCCAAGAGACGTTTCTCAGCTGCTCCCAAGCCATCTTATCTAGCCTCTTATGACAGAGAGTTGAAAGTGGCTTCTAACTTTGCACTGTATTTCTGTACATTAGAACAAAGCATATCAAATGCCCTTCACCTAACCAAAGGCATGAATAGAGAAGTGACTCTCCCCACCTTAGACACCAGCATTCTTCCTTTTTCGGATATTTTTCTTATTTATCCAGTGAAATTAACTATTAAAGCCATGGTCTACCCTAGGTTGCTGTCTTGCTCAGGAAAGATCAAGAGAGAAATAAATAAACAAACAATCAAATGCTCTGGCCAGTTTGGTTCAGTGGATAGAGTGTCGGCCCAGGAATGGGATGTCGTGGGTTCAATTCCCAGTCAAGGGCACGTACCTGTACCTCGCTCACAGGCCCGATGCCCCAGTCAGGTGGGAGGCAACCAAGTGATGTGTCTCTCTCACATCCATGTTTCTCTCTCTCTGTCTCTCCCCCTCTCTTCCACTCTCTCTAAAATTCAATGGAAAAAAATATCTTCCAGTGAGGATTAACAAAAACTAACAAACCTGACTCTCTCCTTCCTGGAGCCACTTCCTCTACGTCCTCTCACCCTCTCCTGCTCATTTCTTCCTGGTGTCAGAGATTTCATCCCCTCAGGGCCTTTGTAAAGGGCTCTCTGTTGTGGTTCCCAGAAGCTGCGGCAACGCGCGTGTCATGACATTAATTGCATTAGCCCAGTGCCACAGTCGGCCCCAATTCTCTTTCTCATCTTGGATCTGGCTCAGCTATGCTACCCAACCCAGCAGCGTGAACAATGAGCACAGGTGAAAATATGGCCCAAATAATTTGCCAGCACTATGTAATTCCTGAAATTACTGCCACCTCATAAAAGTTAACAATACCAACTTTCTTCCATTATCAATTCAGTCTGTTGCTCCCACAGAGAAATTTCAGGCCAAAATTCTGCCCTACACTATTTCCTTTTACTGACTCAGTTCCAGGCAGAAGAGATGGTATTTGGGCCTCCGGGTGCAATCTGGGATCCTTTGTCAGCAGCTGAACCCTGGGCCATCAGCCAGTATAACTGGAGTAGAACCTTAGCACCTTCAAAATTTGATTATTTCAACCCTAAGGCACTCTTTTCCCTCTTTTCTCAAATATCTAAGGGTCAACAGAACACATGGGAATATCACAGTATCAGCCTTAATCCCACAAAATCCAGAAGCATTAACAAATTCTCAGTAATTATCCATCCAAGCAAAAGATAGCATTTCCCAGAGCACAACACATTATATTCCAGACGTTTGTTGCTAGTGCCAGCTACAGACCGTTGTAAAGATTTGGTGTTACGCAGGTCTGCAAGAAAACAAAAAAGGGGAAAGACCACTTCCTTCAAATGCCAGTAAATTTTTACCAACCATCAGAATTCAGATCCTGGAAAGTCACGTTCAAGGGAAAGAGAAATCCCACATCAAGACCTAATCATGTGTGCTCCTTGCCAGGCTTTGCCTACAAACTAAGTTTATGTACACAATTAAAATGGCAACTTAAAAATAAAAAAATGAAGGATGTTCTATTGCACTCATGGCTAACTCTGTTCTTGCCAAGGGTAATCAACAGTGAAAAGATAAAACCATCAGTATTTGAATTTAAATCTTAAAATAATAATCAAGCCTATGGTCTCCCTAAGGTTAGTTTATAATAAAAATAACTTCTTGATCCTGGAAAACTTATCTGGTTTCTTTCATTCTCTACTTAATGACTGAAGTTATTATTTCCATGGTGGTCTCCAAACCACACTTGGTTTCTATGTAGATTGGCATGTCACCTCCAACAATTTGACCAGCTGCCTTTTCCTCTCCAGGGAATATGATTAAAATATTAATCCAGCTCTGGATTAGTCTAGCAAAAGAGTTATATAAATCAGTCTCCACACAGCACACGATCCGCTCTTCAACATGCGACGTGCCCTCCCTTTTATGTGTTCTGCCTGCACTGGAAAGTTACAGGGTCTAGCAAAGCAGATATAAAATGTTTATCTCTCTGCCTCTCTGCTGCTTGTTCTTGCTGACTTCTCGAACCTGAAAATGGGAAATTGCATGCCTGAGTTCAGCATGTACCTTTCTAAATGAGAAGAGATGAGCCGGAGGACGACCTTGGGTGTCTAAGTCGCCCGACCTTGGCTGCCCAGAGCTGTCTGGCAGCAGCGGCTTTCACCAGCACAGGCGGAGACAGAGGCCCTGCCCAGTCAGCCGAGACGGCCTTCTCCGGTGGCGCGAAGTCACCATTTGTCTACCCGCTGGAGACTGTCCACCGCTGAAAGCCATCACTCAGCAGGCATTTCCTGAAACCGCCCTTGGGCCTAGCACTGGGCTCAGTCCTGGCTTTGGGGGAGCTTACAATCTAATTACTATAATTAGAGCCTCCCAGAGTGTTAAACTAGGTGACACTGGGTCAGTGTTTAAAGAAAACAATCTCTGTGGGCTGCTGCCGTAGTTGGGGAACATTTCAGGGCGATTGCAGGACTCTGAAGGGAAGAGTAAGAGAAGGCTGGAGCTTTCTGAGGTGATGAAATGTGCTCAGGATGAAAGAACCCGGTGCCGAGTGGGGAGCTTACCTGCGGAGCAGGCCCACAAAGGAGGGCGCTGCGGGGTTTCCCTGGGCACCCTGCCAGGGGCGCCAGTCACTAAGAAAATGGTTTTGCTCTCAGGTCCAGAAGAAATGTAATCTTTCCTGAAATTGCTTAGCATCTGAATGGGATGGTGATGTGGCCAATGGAAAGATCAAGCTGCCGTCCTTAACTCACGTAGGCCTCCAATACAGACATGTCACTGAAAGAAATGGCTGTCGATGCGGTACAGCTGCATTAAAAGCTGCGAGCGCTTTCCCGGGAAATCAGGATCACCAGTAGAGTGTTGGGTCTCTTTCCAAAGAATGATCAAGCAGTAGAATTCACTTCCACGAAGGTAAAAGTCATACCGCAGGTTCCAGTCAAAGAAACGAATGAAAATAGCAACACTCTGTTTGGTTGTTTTCCATTAATTATTAACTTTGTGTTCATCTGTGTATTTCACTGAACTCCGTGAATTACAGGACAAACGAGTTTCAGGAACGATCAGGTTTCTCCAGTTCTTCCCGTGGTTAATGACAGAGCAGGGGGGCAGGGGTGAGGGCATTTTTCAACCTGGCAAACTTGGCTTTCCAAACGAAAAATTCTCAGGGCCCGTTTTCTCCCTCATGTTTAGCTAACTTGCTGACTGAATGGACCAGGTAGTCGGTTACTTCGGAACTCTTATCTCTGATTATGAGGTAAAACTGAAATGTACCTCTAGCTCCCTTCTGGGAGGGATTTTTTTTAAAAAAACATATTTTATTGATTTTTCACAGAGAGGAAGGGAGAGGGATAGAGAGTTAGAAACATCGATGAGACAGAAACATCGACCTGTGCCTGAAACCAAGGTACAGTACATGCCCTTAGCCGGAATCGAACGTGGGACCTTTCAGTCTGCAGGCCGACGCTCTATCCACTGAGCCAAACCGGTTAGGGCGAGGGATTGTTTTAAATGGAGGAAGAACAATCTTATTTCATTCCAAGTATCATTGCAGACCAGGTCTTCATAAGGTAGACAGGGGCCTTGCTTAAAATATAGGGTGTCCCAAAAAATGTATACACACTTGGAGTAACTATTAATTCCAGTGGGTTAAATCTGAAAAGAAAGAAACATCAACTGAGCTATCTGGAAAAAAAAAAAAAAAGTGTGTATACATTTTTGGGGGGGAAACCCTGTAATATTTCTGAACAGTTTGTTGACACTTCAGCCTGGGACCCAACAGTAAGGTTTTCTGTGGACGCTGGAGGCCAATTAAAGGAGATATAGGGTTCACTCAGCACTGAGCTCTAAGGAACCTGCCCACTGCTCCCCACGTACGACTCTAACGTGGGCCTGCAGTGCACCACTCTCTCCCACAGTCCTCCATGTTTATGACCATGTCGGAACTTCCCAGCAAGCACATGGGCTGCAGGCCCAGAGAGGCTGCTGCTCAGTCACCACCATCTGGAAATGGACCTCACTGTGCCAACCACACACCCAGGGCTCTTCCAGACCAGCACCTCCAGCCCTTTGCAGCAAACATACATGAAGAACGGGCGTTCCCGGGATCATGCACAGCTCTCTGAATGCTGGCTCCAACCTCACCCCTTCTCCAAAACAAGAATGTGTGGCAGGATTAGAGACACAGTGCCATAGAGAAAGACTTGAATCTACTCGAAGGTATGCTTTGAACAAAAAGAAAGAATTCAATGATGTCAGCATGTTATTAAGAAAAAAATGAATTGAAACATTTCGGAGTTGCAACACGTTGTTGAGAACTGCTGCCTTTGACACCAAACAGCTTGGAACACCTGGCACCGAAGTCACACAAATGGACTGCAACCAGTCAGTCTCGAGGGCTACCCCGCCTGGCGGCCTGCCCAGCAGGGCAGGTGCCACCTGCTGCCCTTTCTCAGTGGAGAAGGTACCAATACTTCTGACTGTATGGAGAGACAACCTGCCTGAATTCAAATCCTACCTTCAGATTTTTTTGCTCTTCACTGGGGCTGTTCCCAAATACTCCAATTGTCCTTCTCCCGGGGTAGACCGTAGATTACATTCCTCCCACCTTGAACGTGGGCGTGACTATGTGACTTACTTTAATTCTTTGGTGAGCAGAAGTGATGTGTCACTTCTGGGCAAAAATTAGTAAGCCCTCCTCACTCAAGAGTGGTCCATGGTGGGGCAGTACAGAAATCGCTCAGAAGTTTGCTAAAAATGCAGGATCTCAGGCCCCTCCCAGGCCTCTTAAATCCGATGTGCATCTAAGGAGCTCCCCAGGTGATTCAGATGCACATTCAAGTTTGGGAAGCTCTGCTCTAGACATAGAGCATTATTCACCACTTCTCTTTGCCCTGCCATGGTGACTGGTGATGATCCTGATGGGGGAGTATGGCTACCCCCTGGCCTGACTGAGATGGACAAGAAGTGCAGCATGAGAGAATTAAACCTTTGTTTTCAGCCACTAACCCATAAAGAGTGTTACCTTGCAATGACCTAGCCCATTCTGACACGGTCACTTAGTACTCTGAGACCCTGGGCAAGGTCTCCTGTGCCTCAGTTTCCCTGATGTAAAATGGAGATAACAGTACTGAATCAAAGGATTGTAATGAGGATTAATGAGGTAACATATGAGCACCTAGTAAGGTCTAGGTAAATATTGGCTTCTATTATTAACATGTTCCATCCCTAAATCTCTACTTCCAGTCTGCTTACCTCAGTGACTGGAGTGTGACAACCTCTGTCCCTGGCAATCCTCTACCCAAACCACATATATTCCAGGAACAAGTATGAAATCACACATCAGAAAGAAAATGAAAAATTACTTCTTCTCAGAAAGAAGTTGGGGATCTTCATTACAGTCACTTGGCCCACGCATTCATCACCAGTGTCTTCCATCGTTGTCGCTCTCCTACTCTAATATTGCAGATGCTAACCCTCACCCTCTTGCTTACCTTCCCAAATCCTACGTGCCTTTCAGGGCACAGCTGGTCTCCCTCCAGAAAGTCTCCCTCAAGTACTTCTTTACTATGCAATTTAGAATTTGGACCTAGTATTTGTCTATTACACATAAGGCCTGGTCCTAAACTCAGTGCTGGGTGAATAATAATAATAATAATAATAGAACACCTAATACATGTTTATTTTTTGTCTTTCTTTCAAACTTGTGTATGTGATTCTAGCATCAAAGGGTTACCAAACGTGTTGCAGAGAAAATTGGGGAAGGTCTGAGATAGGGGAATGGTATGGAGATAGATTCTGTTAAGATTCTGGTTTTTAAGAGTCCAAGAGACTTTTTTTTTTTTAAATATATTTTATTGATTTTTTACAGAGAGGAAGGGAGAGAGATAGAGAGTTAGAAACATCGATGAGAGAGAAACATCGATCAGCTGCCTCCTGCACATCTCCTACTGGGGATATGCCCGCAACCCAGGTACATGCCCTTGACCGGAATCGAACCTAGGACCTTTCAGTCCGCAGGCCGACGCTCTTTCCACTGAGCCAAACCGGTTTCGGCAAGTCCAAGAGACTTTTGACATTATAGTAACGGTTCCTAAAGATGATAAATACTTGATAACATTTTTATTATGATGATTATAAATAAAATGTATTGTTTATTTGAAACACTAATAAAATGATAAATTATTTTCTCCTTGCCACTCTCTTAAAGTGTATATAAGGAAACAAAATATTTTAAGGTGGAATAAATATGTCAGTGTCTTGGATCTCTCTTTCACATTTATAAACCAATGTTAAAAAATCATGGTACTGAAGGAATTCACCACAGTTGCACAATGAGCCACATTATTCAGTTCCAAAAAATCACAGAACTTGAACAAGCACCTTGGAAATCCAACCTCAACATTTTAGAATCTCTAGGCCAGGGGGCAGCAAACCTCCTCTTAAAGGGCCAGACAGGAAATAGTTAGGCTTTGGGAGCCATAGACAGGTCTCTGTCACAACCACTCAATTCTGCCATGGTTGTCAGAGGCGGCCCTAGACAACAGAGAAACAAATGGGCATGGCTGCGTTCCAAAAAACCTAAATTTATGGACCCCGAAATTTAAATTTCATTTAATGCTCACCAGTCACTAAATTATTTTGATTTTTTTCAACCTTTTAAAAAGGTAAGCCATTTTTAACTTGTGAGTGGTACCAAAATAGGCCGCAGGCTGGGTTTGGCCCATGGGCCATACTTGCCAACTCCTGCGCTAGACTCCCAAGTTCCTGCTTCTTCAACTGCAACATTCACTTAAAAATCAGGTAAGAAGTAATTCCCTGAGCCTGTTTTTATTAACTCCACTTGAAAAAACGTAAGATCCTAAAGATGTCAAACTTTCACCAGAACTTATACCCATAAAAATAACATCACCCATCACCCCTTCCCTCACCACATACAATTAACAGTTATGGGTTAGAAAATAGTTGGCAGCTGTCTTCATGGATGAAGTCAATGTAGTCTCATTCCTCTGCCAAAAGGCAGGAAACCAGTTCTCGGTGCCTCTTCTCCAGTTGCTGCAGAATGACGGGGAAGGACAAGCTTTGGCTTCAACGTGGATTTTTAACCGGGAATCTCACTACTTTAAAACATTTTTAATTTTTTTTTTAAAGAGCCTTGGCTTTTGCTATTTTTACTGGTGCTCATTTTAAATGTAGCAGTGCTTGAAACATTTTAAGTCTAGATGTCTCTATGGAAACCCAAGAAAACTATTTTATGGCCAAATGACTACCTACCTAGAATTACACATCCTATTGGATCACTACGGGCCATCTGTGATTCCAGAAACATCTTAGGCCTATTTTCCCAAACTCTATTTTTATCAGATATAATTAAGTTGATATAATTATTAGTTTTGCTGAGGTGGTCAAGAGAGAAAGAACTAATTTCTGATACTTCTTTCAATTTTTTATTAAGAGATCCCTCTTTAAAACTGTCTTATTAGGGAATTTTGTAAATTTTGGCAAACATAATAAAAAAGAAAGCATACAATCGAATAGTTTAACAGTTGCTTTGAAATTTATGTCATTAATTTTCTTCCCCTCCTTTCTACCAATGTCAAATACACTTAAAAAACAATGTAACTGTTTCCCAATCCAAACTGTTTATTCATTGAAAAGGAAAAAAATAAAAAACACACAATCTATAAAAATAGAAGTGTAATATGCAAATCGACTGAACAGCAGAACGACCATCCAGAAAACCACGACCACGCTATGACACACACTGGGGCCAGGCCAGCCAAGGCGGGTGCGATGCCATTGGTAAGGGGGGCAGGGGGGGCGCCATTGCCCCACAATCGCCCCACAGAGGGAAGCCCAGACCACCAGCCAGCGGGGCGATCAATCAGGGAGCTCCGCATTCACCTCAAAGAGGGAGGCCCAGGCCACCCTCTGCGTGGCGATTGATGCGGGGGGGGGGGGGGGGGGGGGGGTGAAGCAGCTGGGGCTGCAAAGGCCTACGCTTCCTTGCACAAATTTCATTCATCCGGCCTCTAATAATTATATAGTGTAGCATCAGATAAAATCTTGACCAGGTGAAGATGGCTTTTGGGTACGTCCAGATATGACACTCTGAGAACATAACCTCACCTAGAAGGCATAACCTAAATCTAATCATGACTAAACCCTATTATGAAGGAAAAAAAGGAAAAGTTGGGGTACATGGACTGTATGATTTTTTTAAATGTCCTAAAAAACAGAGCGGCCATGGAAATGCTCGACTAAAAGAAGCTAAAGACACATGAGACACATGATATTGGACCCCAGAATGGATCTAACATTGCAGGGGAGAGTAGGGGGCGGCATAGTAGATAAACGTAATCTATCAATGTGATTATATAAGAGAATATCCTATGCCTAGGAAATACTGAAACATTTCAGGGTAAAGGACCGGGATGTATGATGCATGTAATTTTGTACCAAATGGTTCAGAAAAAACATTATATATCGATAGAGAAAAAGAAGAAAGCGAGCAAATAATAAAGCTAAAGGTGTAAAATGTTAACAATAGGTTTGAAGAATAAGGGATGCATGGGTATTTTTGCCACTTTGCTATCATTTGAAATTACTTCCAAACAGAGAATTTAAGGAAAAATGAATAGTTCTTGCCTACATTGGCTGTCTAATATGTCTCCATGATATTCCAAATACAACACAGGAAGTGATGCTTGTGCCAAGTAACATGAAAGTGCAAAGATATTTTAACATGATCTCTTATCAGCAATTGAAGCCTGCCAGAGCATTATATACCACCCATTCTCAGCAGAGTCCATTGCAAAAACCAGTAAACATTGGGTACTCCAACAACATATATGCAATCACTTGCCAGTAATCTCTCTAAATAGGGTAGAAATTCTAAAACCTTTTTGCATCCCACAACTTTCAGAATTATCTCATACACAAAGCAAGTCTCTCAGCTAGTCTCTTAGATAGTCACTATCAGTATCAATCATTTGAAGTCAATCTTTTTAACTGGAGCATCTTATATTTTAAGCCATGTTTAAGTAGCTGGAGAATGTAGTCCTCAGAAAGCAGGATCGCCTCATCAGATATCCACAACTCCTCCCCACCACCTCGAAATTGCCGTCAGAATTCCTCAGCCTTAATGCCTATGACCCCATAATGGTCCTATACCAGCACAGGAGGTGCCAACCTCCAATCTGCAATACATCATCTATACTGACCGCCCCCCGTCCCCGCCAAAAAAAAAAATAATAATAATAATTAGGCAGGGAACTGTGCCTAAGACCAAAAATTTAGGAGACTTTTCTAAGTCAGTCACTGGGTAATCAAAAAGGTTATAACCAAAATTAAAATTTTCAGCCATGCTTAAGAATTAGAAAAATACCCACTCTCCAAAACACAACAAAACCAGAACATACATATATTGGTAAGTCTTTTCTATCCTTTCCTGTTTATAGTTTTATTATTTTCTAGATCCTTTTAGTAGTGACTATCTCTGGGTTAAAATAGCCACATACCATTTTTGGTTTTGGCTTTTTATCCTAGATATTCTCTTTATTGCTCATTTCCCCCAAAATTCCAATTAATAATTCTATTTAACACTTGTTTACTAAGAACCTACTTGGCATACAATGCTTAACCAGACATACTGGGTGGTATTCTCTGGAGGAAAGATTCCAAGTTCTTTTGTCTGCAAATAATCCTCCAGAAAATGATATGAAGACAATAAGTGCAATGACGTCTGCTTGCCGAAAAGCATAAGGAGCCAGAAATGAATTATGACCGACTACACATAGAAATAAACTAGTCAAAGCACTAAAATTTAACGAGAGGATAATCTTAAAAGAAGGGGAAATTGAAGAGAAGTTACATGTAACATGGATTTAAAATCATGCTTATTCTTCTCCATAAAACTCAAATGCAGTTAAAAACGCACACGTACAACATAGAGCAATTATAAATCCTCTGCAGCATGTCACTGTGATTAGCTGCTACTCTCAGCCATATAAAAAGACTTTCACAATTACTTTCCAGCCTGTAATGTAATTCAAAACAAACAAGTCAGAGACATCGCTCAAATGGCAGAACCAACAATACAGATGCTTTGTATCAAGGAAATGAATCCACTGAAGAAATGCAACTGAGGAGCTGCTGTCCAGGGCCTGGAGCGGGGCTTCCGGTAGAACGCGGAGGCCCCCTTCTGGGCAGACGCGGAGCACTGCAGCCCAGCTCTGCAGCACCGCACTCGTCAGCGCGAATATCTGGGAGTGCCTGCTGCGGATATCCTTCCCAGGGCTGCGTTCACACTGTACAATTTCAGGCTTTAAATTCTAAATCTGGATTTTTATAAAAAGAAAGAACTGTATTCGATTTCAGATCAAAGTAACCATTCTATTTAATTGTGCAACCAGCATTCCCACCACCAATGGCATGCCCATTCGTTTTGCCTAATCCGGACCACCCTCTCACATGCTGTATAATCTATTCTGCTTAGTATCTGTCTCCCCTGCTAGAACATAAGCTCCATGAGGGCAGGATGCTTTGTTTTGTTCACTGATTCCCAATACAGTTGCTCAATAACAAAGAAGGAATTGTCCCCTTTATGCTTTTATCTTCTATTTTTAACATTATCCATCTTCAAAAAAGGCACAAATACGGTTTTATTTTAGCAATATGTTGCAATTTAAAATGACACTTAAGCACTTGTTTTAGAATATGCATTTTCTCTAAATGCTTTATAAAGGCAAAAATCTGTTCAAAAGACCATATAATCATGGTCTACAGGTATGCAACGTAGACAATTTCCAAGCAAGTCACGGGCCCCCAACACTCTGAGAGAACATGGTTGCTGCAAAGAATGAAGAATGCAATTCTGCAATGCCAGGCGTGGAGCAGGGGTCCGCAGTGGCACAGCCCGGTGCAGACATGCCAGGTAATTGCACCTACAGGTACCTGCTCTGATAGCACTGTCCTGAACTGGTGATGCTTTTGGCAAGAAGTGCATTTTCCTGCTTACTAATTTCTAAAACCTCAATCTTTTACTTTCCAGCTTGTGGAAAAACTAATTAATAGTTTATTGCAATTGTCAGACTTTGTCAAAGTGTTCATTTGTTCCTTTAACAGAGGAAATGATGAAAGACCATTTTTCCCACAGGTTAAGGACGATATATAACATCTGATTCAATGATGTCACCAGCACTCAGGCAAGAATTTCATCCAGGGGCATTAGTCCTTCGTTAGAACAAACTCAGGATCTTTGACACTCCTTTTTCCGAACCTTTGATTTTGGTGCTGTGAGAAGGACAGAAAAGAAGAAGAGAAGGTGAAGAGGCAGGCCGTGTCAGACTCTCTTTGTCCTGATTTGTTTGAAGGGAGGTACTTTATATACCGTAGGGAACACTGACCGTTTGGATTTTCTTGTTTGTAGAAGTTCTTTAACATTTCCACTGCTTCCTCAGCCCGATACCCCGGAATGCACTGATGAAAAGAGAAAGTTCAGAATGAACAGAGGCCTAAGATAATGTGTGTTGTGTTCCATAAAAAAAGGCAATATATACATAGTTATATAAACAGATCATGTTAATACACTTTGTGGATATTAGTAACATGGGAAGTATGTTTCCAAATGAATAGCTATCTGGCCTGTCAAATATCACTCTCAATCAACTAATTATTATTTCTCAATTAACTACTATTGAAGTTATGAACTATGTGATCTTGGGTAAGATTCTTAAAGTCTCTATGCCTCAGTTTCCTCATATGTAAAATGTATTTAATTATAGCAATTTAACCCAGAAGGATTTGTGAGGATTCAATAAAATTAAATAAAATCATGCCTGTCAAGAACTTAGCACATCATAAGGGCTCATTAAGCATTAGTTATCTTTATCTGCTCTTATATACTGTGGCCCATTAAGTGTTTGATACTATAGAGCTATGGTTGGCTGTCCACAGCTAAAAATGGTTAGCTAAAAAGGGGTTTTATATTTTTAAAGTGTTAAAGAAATTGGAATATGCGACAGAGACATAAATGGCGCACAAAGATTAAAATATTTACTATCAGGCTCCTTACAGGGGAAAAAAATTGTCAATCCTTACTTACTATAGAGGATTTTTTAAGTGTTCACTTTGTGCTATCTTGGTACCTAATTGGGAGAAAAGAACAACAGGAAGAAAGCGAAATTGTGGTAACGTAAGGATCTGAAACTTGAACTTGCCTTAATGATAGAGAACATTTAAAGAGGCTAAACAGAGCATATTAGGGAAAGAATAAGAACAAGCTTGGGTTGTGTGTGAGGAAACCAGCTGATGGGGCAGGGGCAATTATTAAGGGAGTATAAGGAAAGAAATGAGAGATAAAACAAAGTCAAAATATATAGGGCTTTGAAAGCTTGTCACAGGAGTTTGAACTTGATACATTGCACCCTTCTGAGATGCATGAAAGGATAAGAGCAGAATCTTCAGGGAGGCCGGCCTGGAGGCAGCATACAGGACAGGAGGGACCCAGTGAGCAGCAGCACAGAGGGCTGGCAGGCTCGGCCTGCTGCTCAAAATGAGCCCCTTTCTCCTGTGCCTACAGAGGCTGCATAAACCTTCCCCATCAAAACAAATAGCCTCCTACGAGTTCAACACGTTTAGATTCCACATATAAGTGAAATGCAGTATTTGTGTCTTTTTCTGCCTGACTTTGGATAATACCCTAGATATACTACAGTTGCTATGAGAGTAGAGTTTAAATGTTCTCACCAGAGCAACAACGACAACATGGTACCTATGTGAGGTGAAGGATGTGTTAACTCACCTTATTTTGGTAAACTTCTCACAATATATACATGTGTCAAATCATCATGTTTTACAGCTTCAACTTACACAATGCTAGATGTCAACAATAGTTCAATAAAGCTGGGGAAAACAGCCCAATGACCTTCCTTCTACCCAGCACCCAGGCAAGCTGCCCCCTGAGAATTTTTCAGAATCATGGCCTTCACTTTGGGGGCTCTCATTTACTCCTCAACCTCACCCTCGCTGGCCTGTGCCCCCAGGACTCCACTGGAACTACCCGCTCAGACATCAAGGGCAGGGAAAATATAAAAATACAGGTATTGATTGCTACGCACCAAAAATAGTATGTGGCAATCGAGCAAAATTACTGAATTTGTGCAAAAACACTGTGTTTATGGTAAACAGCATCTACTGTCACTGTCAGACGCCAAGCTTCACACAAACTTGGTAGAGCAGGGAGCCGGGAACACTCATGGAGTGAAAACGCCAACAGCGGCAGTGTCCTCGGGCATGCCTCCCGGCCTGGGCGAAGGTTGTCAGAAGATCCCTCGGAAGGCTGGGCACGCTCCTCCAACAGGTTCGGTTGACTCTGAGCTGGGCACACACCCGGAAATGACTGCCTGTCACTCACACTGAACTCGACCAGCAGTCCTGAGAGCCTGTCTAGTTCTATCATGGTTTCGGGTATACCCACCACATGCTCACCATTCACAAGCCCATGATGAGATCAAAGTCATCAGAAAGAAAGAAAAAGCGTAGCAGTTCATGTTACCTGAAACGGTCTCCCCGTATTTGGTAAATCAGCAGAGGCAATATCTAGAACAGAGCCACAACCGCCAAAACGTTCATTCTGACAGCCATACACAACCAGCGGGATTTATGTGAGAGAATTAAGGTCCTACAGAGAATGCGCAGTTCAAGACAAAACTAGGATTTACACCGGCCATTCTGGAGAGGAACGCTTATGCTACTCTTAAAAACAACTAAACTGAGGCTTAAACTTAAACATCATGCAATGCAGTTACACAAAAGAGGTTTAAAGGATTTAGAAATTAATATCTCACAATTGCAAAGAGAATGAACACGAAATACGTCACTGGCAAATGTTCAGTTTGGTGTTCTCCCTGGTTTTTCCTAAATCAGTTGTTTTGGAATCATTAGAGAACGAGAGCCAACAAAGAGGCAGGAATTTAACCCAGAGATGTTCACCTTGTAAAGATAACATATGGTTACCTGCGATTTCCCCAAATAAAATATGTTCTGTGGCCCCGTACAAAACGGGCTAAAGCTGAACCACTCTGTACGGCAGGATGGGGACAAAATCCTGTTGACCATAACTAGCCTCTTTATCAAGATTGTACATTTATCAGACTCAAAACCCTCTGTATTTTTTTTAAGTGATCAAATGTTTCACCCATACACAGTAAAGTATGTAGATAAAAACATGCAAGTGTAAAACTGAGTTTTAAATTATTACATACATGTTTTAAATCTTTAGAGACTAACTTGCAGCACTCAATATTTGTGTCACTTACTCTATGAAATACAAAAAGCTGTAACTATCAATTTCCCATTTATTAACAACGACATCATAATGTATTGGTTTGTTCTTTAATTTGTTTTGACTTCTGACAAAATTTGTCATATATCATAATAGGTATTTATGGCAAAAGTAAATGAATAAAAAACTATAAATGGCCCTAGGTGGTTTGGCAAGGTGGATAGAGCACTGGCCTGTGGACTGAAGGGTCCAGGTTGGATTCCAGTCAAGGGCTCATGCCTGGGTTGCTGGCTCCATCCCCAGTAGAGGGCGTGCAGGAGGCAGCCAATCAATGTTTCGCTCTCATCATTGATGTGTCTATCTCTCTTTCTCTCTCCCTTCCTCTCTGAAATCAATAAAAATATATTTTTTAAAAATTAAAAAACAGATATATAAACGGAGAAAGAAAATTTTTAAATCACCAAAATCTATTATCCAAAGGCAAGCCTTAGGTGCATTTTTTTTTCCAGACCTTTCCTTATGTAGTTTTATCCTATTTTAACTTAAATTATAATTTATTCTTCTATTACAGTTCAAATTAGAGCTAAGCTTTTCTATCTCTAGCTTATATACTAGTTACATGTTTATAGACATTTTTTAAAAAGGTTACTTAACTATTTAAAAAACTTTCTAAAGCTTTTTGGCCTTCACCTCCTAGAATTTGTTTCATACTTCTCTGTAGGGACAGGTTACCTGTCCGGCCACTTTCACGTTCACAGGAAGGGAACAGACATTAGCCCAAGGATACTCATGAGGCGGAGGGCAGCCGCGCACATGATGCACGGCTCCACCGTGACGTACAGCACCGTGCGCTCGAACACCGCCGCGGGGCTCCGGCCGCTCCCCCGGCACCAGGCTAGGGCCTGGTCGATGGCCACCATTTCTGCATGTCGAGTAGCCTGAAAAGAGAGAGGAGCTTGCCTTGACAATGTTTGCTACACGTAACTGTATTCTGCAAATATTCAAAAATAAGTACCGAAAAAATTGGGCCTCCTGTTTCTGCCAACGTTTTAAAGAATGGAGGTTTCAGGACACCCTTAGCAGTTGACAACATAGTCCCCAGGTCAAGTACCATAAATCACCAAAAAATAAATAAATAAATTTTTAAAAAAAATAACGTCACCAAAAAAGACATTTCATCTGAAATGCTGTACGAATCATGCTATATTTTAGTTACTGGTAAGTACCTAAGAAGTTGGGGGATGTTCCTTCAATTAAAATGCCACAGTGAAAATGTGTCTAAAAAAAAAATGATCCTAGTATTTCTGAATATTTTAGAGAAAGCTTGAAACTTTTATAAGAATGTGCTCCGGTTTCAAATGTTTTCAAGGTTATCACTGACTTCACTCTAAGCAAATCTACATTTAGTTTTTACTGAATGTCTCCCATTTTCTTTGGGATAAGATTGTATATACTGACAGATTTTTGGTATAGCTCTCAGATACCTCATGTAAGCAGTAGAATACAGGAGAAATCACACAGCACTTGGAATCAACCACGTTTAAATATGAATCCTTACTGTGACATTACTAATTATGTGGCCTTGAGCAAGTTACATATCTTCTCTAAGTCTTGGTTTACCCATAGGTAAAATGGGGTACAATGGTCTCTATACCTCTCAAAGCAATCTGAATTATGGGAAGCACATGCTGTATAATGCTATAATATACTCTGCTATGCAATAATTATTTATAACTAGAGGCCCAGTGTACGAATTCGTGCATGGGTGGGGTTCCTAGGCCTGACCGGTGATGGAGGCCGTCCCGCCTAGTCCCAATCAGGGCTGGCCAGCTGGGAGGAGGGACTGCAGGAGGTTGGCTGGCCGCAGGAGATTGCTGTGGGAGAACACTGATCACCCGGATGGCCAGGGGGACAGACCATGGGAGGTTGGCTGTGGGAGCACACTGACCACCAGGGGGCAGCTCCTGCATTGAGTGTCTGCCCCCTGGTGGTCAGTGTGTGTCATAGTGACAGGTCAAGCCAGCACCAGTCTGGCTCAGTGGATAGAGCGTCGGCCTGCGGACTGAGGGGTCCCAGGTTCAATTCCGGTCAAGGGCATGTACCTGGGTTGCAGGCACATTCCCGGTAGGAGATGTGCAGGAGGCAGCTGATCGATGTTTCTCTCTCATCGATGTTTCTAACTCTCTATCCCTCTCCTTTCCTCTCTGTAAAAAATCAATAAAATGTATTTTAAAAAAAATAACATAGTGACAGGTCGACCGGTTGCTCGGTGGACCGGTCACTTAAGCTTTTATATATATAAATATATATATATATATTCATGATCATCACATTTATCAACAAACTTATATTGAGTGTTATCTATGTCCAAGCCACTGTGCTAAATTCTGTGTGGAATAAAAACTCTCTGTCCTCAACAAGACTAAAGTCTGGTAGGGTAAACAGAAAGTTGCTCATCTACCTGTGACCAAGGACAGGGTGTGAAAAATGCTGGCACAATGGCCCAAGTACCATGAAAGCCAGGATTATAAACTCAGAGTCAGAAGGGATTTTAGAAAAGAGGTTCCCAAACCTGGAGGCATACTAGAACCCACCGGGGAGCTTGAAAAAGTTTCCCCAACTCGAGTGCTTTTTATAAATCAGATTCAGAATCTAAATCAAATCTCCCTATAGTTCTCAATAAGTAATTGTTGGAATGAATCATATTAAGCAACTTCCTCTTTTATGGCAGAAGAACCAGAAGCTAAGACAGAACGTATTAGAGCTGCACAATGGAACAGGTGGTAACGGTGGTAACAGGGGAGTGGAGGTGGCATTAAAGCCAAAGTAGGACTCAGGTCTCCTCATTTGGGGTCAGGAATCTTTCTATTCTGGGATTATAGGGTATCTATTATAGGACACAGAATACCAAAATAAATCCAGGTTAATTTCAAAGTAAAGAAGAAACACATGTCATGGGCCGTAAGATGGATATTGTTAGGACATTCAAAGTTCTTATGTTAAAAATACTCTGCCAAATAAATCACAAAATATAAATGGGGAGATATGACAATTATCTAAAATACAAAATTCTACTCCCAAATATAGTATCTATATAGTCACTAATAGCTGTATTATCTTTATTACTTATCTCATGGGTATTTTGACACCCACATAACTGCTTTGGGAATCTGTGTCCCACTTTGCATGTGTTTTACTAAGACTCAGCTCTGTCTTTGATAGATAAGATGGATGAACTTGAAAGTCCACATAGCACTAGCACCAACACCAGCTTATTCCCTGGTTGGCAAGGTCACACAACATGATCAAAGTCTGTGAGAGTGGGCTTATGCTCTCCTTGAGTCCACCAGGTACTTCTCATAATCATAAAATCTGACACTTCATCTACAGTTACTGGGACACACTGTTGTGATACCACATTCAAGAAGGGCTGCCTTAATTCATGAACTTCCCACCCTAGCCACAATAAATGAAAAGTCTCACAACCTAGTAAAGTGTACATACTCCATGTAGTAGAGACTTCATCCCACTGAATTATCTGAAATAAAAATAGCTTCTTTACACATCCTTTTAGAGCTACTAAAGAATATGATATGAGTTAAAGAGAGATGTTTTATAAAGTGAAATTTTCCTATATTAGCTTTGCTTAAAATGGAGAAGACTCATGTCTTCTACACTGACATACCAATGTAATAAAACTGCCTCTTAGGTTTTCACTCAAGTGTCAAAGTCAACATGTGTCACTTTTAGAATCAGAAGAAAACAAAAGCATTCAAAAAAAGAGATGTTTAGGGAAACTACCTTTCCATTGATACCTTATTGGACTCTACAGAGACGCATCGTCTCACCAGCTATGATAACTGCATCCACTTTTACTGTCACTGCCCTGTATATGCAATTATACTCACATACATTTTTGGTTTGGTTAACTTCATTCCTTCCTTTCCCCACAACTTCATTGTTATAGACCATAAGGCAGCCAACAGGAACTTCAATATTTTCTAGGGCTTCTTTGGCCTGAAAAACAAAGTGGAAAATCTAAGATGTAATGTTCAATACTTGAAAGGACTACAGGAAAGAAATAGATGCAGCAAGAGCAGTAAACGCATGTGTAAATACTAGAACTAAGAAAGGCGACTGGCCTTTCCCTTCTCTCAGATACAGTTCCGTGCTTAGTGCCTTTGCTCTCTGGGTGTCCATATGAAGGGAGATCAGGAACAAATCCCTCCATAGGTCCTGAGCCCCTGATGTATTTTTCCTCATTGGGAGCAGAGGTGATCAAAAGACTTATTGACTCTTGTTCTTAAATTTCCAGGGTCTATGCACCTTTTCAGAGAGAGTATATATATATATATATATATATATATACATATATACTTGCAAAGAGGTAGAAGAATCAATGATATAAATCCTTTCTTAAAAATCTTTCCTTGTTGAAATTCTACTTGCTTAATTTTGTTTCTCTAAAAAGGACAGAAAATATCCTCTAGCGTTCCAGTAACACACAGGTGACTTCTGCGCTAAGGGAGACAAGAAAAGCTGAGGAGCACTCTAGGGGAAAATGGCTCAACCACCTTGGAGAAATTTTGGAAGTTTCCTTTAAAAGTAAACAAACGTATCGCCTATGGACAAATTCTACTCCCGAGTGTTTCTTTAAGAAAAGGGATTGTATATCTACCAAAAAAACAAAAACAAAAACAAAAAAACAGCAAAAGAATGGTCATAATAGATTGATTCGCAATAGCCCAAATCTGGAAATAGCACCGGTGTCCATCAACAAAAGAATGGATGAACCACCTGTGGTCTATGCACACAGAGGCATACAACTCAGCAATAAAAAGGAATGAGGTGCTGATACACACATCAACACACATGAGTCTCAGACATGCTGGATAAAAGAAGTTCAACACAAAGCAGAGGATGAGAAGTACTCGACTAGACAAAACTAAACCACAATGAGAGAAATTGGAATGGTGGTTGCTTCCTGGAAGGGGATGTGTACATTGATCGGTTGGAAAGGGACATAAGGAAATTGGGTTACGCAGATGCTTACATCTCTCAAAACTGAATGAACAATGCCTTTAAGACCTATGCATTTCACTGCATGTAAAGTACAGCCCAAATGAAAAATAAGCTGAGGAACAACTCCACCACCACCACCCTGGGAATGGCAAACTAATTATTCTATTTGCAAAGTCTCCCCTCTACCACCAGCTGCCATTTTACTTCTGTCCCTTCTGCTGAGTGAACCACTGTAGCTCCAGGGCCCAGGACAGGAAAGAATACCTTTTGGGGGCAGAGAACGGAAGCAGGCCGGTCTTATCTGGGAATGTCCTGATAATGCCACTGAGGGAGAATAAAGGAAGAGTGCAACCCTTTAGATTTCCATCTCAGTACAGTTAAAAGAATCCAAGGACAGCTGTTCCTGGGAAGGCACGGCATTTCTTATTTTGGCAGGCCAGAAGACACCTTAGAAGACTAGGTTCCCATGTAAGTGTAGGGCATACCCACACACACCATAGGGCACATGTACTGAAAAGTTGAAGGCATTGCTGAAAACAGTGTTCTGTCTCCTGCACTAGCCTCTTACTTCCAGCTATACTTTATTTATAATAGCAATAACTTCTTTTCATAATGTTAACATGGGCTCCTTAGCTACTTCAAGCATGCTCAACTGACATTTTTCATTTGGCCAAAAGTGGAAAAAGGAGAGGTACATAGTAGTGTGTGAACTGAACCTCTCCTTTCCCCTCTGGAGTGGTGGGGTAGGGCTGGGGAATGGTGAAACGTAAGGTGGCAGTATTTAAAGCAGTAAGACTACATCCTTCAGAATTGTGTCACGAACTACCCCCTGGCTAATCTTGTCCCTGTAAAAATAGTGAAAGCATGCCCAGTTGATGCCAAGTTTGAGAGTTTAAAGAGTTCCAAGGTTTGGCGAATTCATACAAATAAATACGACCATGCACCATAGCCTACTACTGAAAGGAGAGCCAGGAGAAGGACTGACAGCAGGGAGGATGGTGATGCTAAGTGTCAGTGCAGTTAAGGCAAGCATCACACAAAGGTGCAACTTTTAATTTTCTAGAGAGAGAGAAACATCAATTTGTTGTTCCACTTATTTATGCATTCGTTGGTTGATTCTTGTATATGCCCTGACCGGGACCGAATCCCCTATCTTGGCATATCAGGATGATGCTCTAACCAACTGAGCTACCCAGCCAGGGCCAATAGTGTCATTTAAAATAGCTTAGAATTACACATAACCCCAGTACACATGAGAGGTGAATCATTTATTTGTTCAAAAAATATTTGTTGAGGATCTTGAGAAAAGGAAATGATCCCGATGCAATCACAAGTGTCCTTGTAAGAAAGCGGCAGAGAGAGATGTGACCCAGAAAGCAGAAAGTAATGTGACAACAGAAGCAGAGAAAAGATCTGAAGATGCAACAGCTGGCTTTGAAGAGGGAGGAAGTGGCCATGAGCCAAGCAAGGAATGTCCCTCTAGAACAGTGATTTTCAACTGGTGTGCCGCAAAAATTTTTAAAACATGCAATACCTGACTAGTAAGGGGCACTGACCTCTTTTCCCTCAGACTGTCAAGTAAAAAAATGACAACAGCCAATACAATAGCTGTCCAGTGTGAACAAATCAAAATTTTACCAATTTTTTTGTGTCCTCCAGAATTTTAGTAATTAGTTTGTGTGCCATGATATGAAAATCGCTGCTCTAGAAGAAGCATGTCGAACTCGAGGCGCGCGGGCCACATGCAGCCCACAACGAATATTTTTGTGGCCCAACCAATATAACAGTGTTTAAGAAAGGTTTTAATAAAAATTTTGTAACTTAATTTTTACAATATCCTGTTATACATAATTATTAATAACGAACTACAACATTCGATAATGACTGATTACTATCATCATGTTGCATTCATTTCCCTTACGCGCCTTATGCGCAGGCACACCATTTCTCTCTAATACTAGCAGCGAATATTTTAGCAGCCGATTGCCAAGTCATTAGTCTGGTACTGACTTGTTTGGTGTGCACAACAGGAAATATTTCGCTTTCAGAGGACAAGAAAAATAGGTTTATTTGTGTTGCACTAATTAACTTGTGCAGTTATTCAGTGTCTGGTAAGTTAATGTTCAAGAAAAAATATTAATTTTTATTAAAATGTTCTATTATTTTATGTTAATGATTACTTATTTATTTCAGCCCTTTGTATTCAGCATGTCTCTATCGAAATAAACCTACGTTTCTATGAAAATTGAAGCTTTTGTTTTTTTGCAGCCCACCTAAACTTAAACCTTGTTTATTTGGCCCATGTTAGCCTTTGAGTTTGACATGCTTGCTCTAGAGTCTAAGCCCAGGAAATATGTCCTCTAGAGCCTCCAGAGGGCGCTCAGCCCTGCTGAAACATTGGTGGCCCGGAGAAACTGATTGCTGACTCCTGGCCTGCAGAAAAACAAGAGAATAAACTTACTGTTTTATGCCACCAAGTTCGTGGCAATTTGTTACAAAGCCATAGGAAACTAATACCCCCTTAAGAGGAATAAAAGACAAACTAAAACTGGAAGGAGATATTTGCAAACCACATACTAAACAAAGATCTCGTATGTAGACTACGTAAAGAACTCTCAAAAATTAAACAAGAAACTCCAAACAAGCCCCTTAAAAAATGGACAAAATATATTAACAGACATTTGGCCAAAGAAGGCATACAAATGGCAAATAAGTACATGAAAAAACGTCGACAACATTAGCCATTAGGAAAACGCAAATTAAAACCACAATGAGATGGTACTACATACCTATCAGAGTGGCTCAAATGAAAAGTTAAAAACACCAAATGTTGGGAAGGCTACGGAGAAACAGGATCACTCATACACTGCTGGTAGAAATGTAAAATGGTACAGCCACTCTGAAAAACAGTTGGGCAGTTTCTTAAAAAACTAAATATGCCCTTAACACATAACCCAGCAATTGCACTCTTGCACATATATTTAGCCAGGAAAATAAAATCTTAGGCTCATACGATACATCATTTCATATATAGACACGAATGCTCGTAGAAGTTTTATTCATAATAGCCAAAAACTGGAAATGACCCAAACATCCTTCAGTGGGGGAATACTGAGACAAACTCCGCTACATCCATACCACGGAAAAACTACACAGCCATAAAAAGGAATGAACTATTGACTGACTCGACAACTTGGATGAATCTCAAGGAAATTATGTTGAATGGAAAAAAAAATCTCAAAAGGTTACATATTCTTGTATATAACATTCCTGAATGACAAAATTATAGGTATGGGGAACAGACAAGTGGCTGCCTGGGTTTAGGGTTGGGAGTAGATGGTGGCCATAAAAGGGCAGTTCTGGTGGTAATTAAACAAAACTAGACACGTGACAATATTACACAGAACCACACACACACACACACACACACACACACACACACACACACATGCGTGCCTATAAAGCTGAGGCAACCTGAATAAACTCAGACTGCATTGATGTCATCTGCCTGGTTTTGATATTGTACTAGTGTCATATAAAATGCTAGCATTGCAGGAAACTGGGTGAAGAGTATATGGGCCTTCCCTGGACACTTTTTTGCAACTTCCTGTGAAACTATAACTATTTCAAAATGAAAAGTTTAAAAAAAAAAAAAAAAAAAGGTGGAGCAAATGAGAAGTATCTTGGAAGGCAGACTAAGAGATGCCTAGTGAAGCAGGAGGAAAACTGGGAGTGTGTGGTGAAAGACCTGAGGAAAAAACAGGCCAAGAAAGAAGGGTCAGTGATATGGAGGCAGTTTGGGTAGAAGGTGAAAAGGTTAAGAACCAGGAACCTAGAAGAATAAAGAAAAGTTAGGCTGGCGGGGAGGATAGGTGGAAGTTGGGAGGCTGCCAGTGGCAGGTTGGGGAATTTAAAGGTGAGAGAGGAAAACAGAGCTTCTGAGTGTCATCAGCACAGTGGTCCTCAGCCTTCCTAATGCCGCGACCCTTTCATACAGTTCCTCGTGTTGTGGTGACCCCCAACCATAAAATTATTTTCGTTGCTACTTCATAACTGTAATGTTGCTACTGTTATGAATCGTCATGTAAATATCTGATATGCAGGATGTATTCAGGCGACCCCTGTGGAAGGGTTGTTCGACCCCCAAAGGGGTCACGACCCACAGGTTGAGAACCGATGCATTAGCAGGAACTGCTGTAGTGTAATCTTTTGGATGTTGTTACCTTCTACCTAAGAGTTTCCTGGCTAACTTGTTTTTTTCTCCAGCTTTTTTTCTTTCTTTCTTTCATAGGAATTATATCTGGGGACTCACCAAGAGTCTGTGCAAACTGCAGTCAAACCCCCTTTGAGCATCTGATGACTCACATGGGATGGAACAGGCACGTGCACAGAACGTTGTTATATAGTTTCAGGTTAGGAAGCCCTTTCTACACAGATAGCTGGCTCACCTCGTCACCCTAGACAAAGTCCTCTATTTCTTGGCACTTGACAGTTACCCTACTTTGATCAACCACTCCCTTCCTTTTCACCAGCTCACATTGCTTTTGTTCTTTTTAAAACACAGTAAGCATCCCAAACTGATCTCACTGACTTGCTCAGGACTGTGTTGCCTGTTATCTGATAGCACTTTATACCTGTCTCTAATTTTGCAGTCAAATGCTCTATCATTGAGCTATACCCCCACCTCTGTCTCTAATTTTGGACCCTGGGCATGTTACTTACTAACTTTTGCATTGGTGCATGTTTTACGTTCATCCATTAAATAGTAGGTTCCTGGGAGGCAAGCACCCGATCCTCGCACTAGCAAACTTGACTTGCTCACCTTTGCAGCTTTAGTACCTGGCACAAGACCTAAAACATAGGAAACTATTACAGCACAATTGTTGAAATGGATAAGTATCTGTGCTTGATTTCTTTTTGAATTTTCCTCAGACCTAGCACAATATTATACCAATACCAGACACCCAGAAAATGAATACTACAATCCTATATAATAAAAGGCTAATATGCAAATTGTCCCCTCTACCGGAAGCTTGACCAGGGGGCGGGCCGGCCTGCCAACCTCCTGTGTCCCCTCCCCCAGCCCAATAGGCCAGCTGGACCCTACCTGTGCACGAATTCATGCACTGGGCCTCTAGTAATATGTAATTGATTTATTCTAGAACACTTGCTTTCTCTCAATAGATAGAACTAGATAGATGATAGATAGATTGATAGATAGATAGATAGATAGATAGATAGATATTGATAAACACTCACACACTCCATCTTTTCTCCTAATTATAAAGTAAGATATGTTCAAGGGGGAAAATTTAGGGGTAAAATGTCCACATTAAAAAATAAAACCACTTAGTTATTATTCTGTAACAGAAGATTTTCAAGTTTTTCTTGCCTGCATATACATGTTTGTAGTTTTTTAAAAAGTCAAATAGATTTATACTGTATATACAGGTTCAGCAGTCTACCTTTTCCATTTAGAAATATACACATTTCCCCATGTTAGGTAATATTTTTCAGCACATGATTTTTTTAAGGTTGCACAGTGTTCCTCTGTATTCATTTAACTGTTTGACATTTACACTGTTTCAAATCTCCACTATTACAAACAAGTGAAGAACTTCCCTATACAACCCTAACAGATAGATACTATCTGCCCATTTTATAGAAGGCACGAGGCTGGAAGGTTAAGAATCTTAGTTTGCTGTCAGTGGCCATTCTAGGGTTTGCACATAGGCTAGTCTAACCTCTAAGCTCGTATGTATAGTATAAAATAATTTGTATTCTGTTTACTGGGCTGTAATATAAAATAGACTTTTTTTTTTTACTATGATTCACTTTCAAAAAAAGCATAAGAAACAAGTTTAGAAGAACATTATGTAACAAATGCATAGATGCTGTAATGCCTCATGGCTTAGAGAAAAGTGTTTGGCTGTAATAGTGCATGAATGCAGAGAAAATAATGTGACAAGAGAACAGAGACGGTGCCGAAAACAGTTTCAGGATTGAATCCCCACTGCCAAGCACAGTGCACTCAAGAAACATCTGTGGAGTGAATGAAGACATAATTATGAATTAACTAGAGGCCCAATGCATGAAATTCGTGCAAGAGGCCTTCCTTGCCCCAGCTGCTGGCACCGGCTTCCCTCTGGCACCCAGGACCCGGCCCCGCTTCGTCCAGAAGGTAGTCTGGAAGGACGTCTGGTCTAATTAGCATATTACGCTTTTATTATTATTGATAGGGTGTCCCCCCAAAATGTATACACACAATGCCTGTAAATTCTATTACATTTTGAAACACTGCCTTTATTTTTTTTTAAATACATTTTATTGATTTTTTACAGAGCGGAAGAGAAAGTGATAGAGAGTTAGAAACATCGATGAGAGAGAAACATCCATCAGCTGCCTCCTGCATACTCCCTACTGGGGATGTGCCGGTAACCAAGGTACATGCCCTTGACCCGAATCAAACCTGGAACCCTTGAGTCCGCAGGCTGACGCTCTGTCCACTGAGCCAAACCGGTTAGGGCTGAAACACTGCCTTTATAATTATTCAAAGTGTGTACACATTTTGGGGGGATACCTGTATATATCCCGAATGCACTTTTATCCTTGTTAAAAAGCTGGTTGACACACGTAAGTGTGGGGAAAGCTTGGATTATACACAAATCTGATTAGAGCCCTCCTCAATCAACAGTCCAGAGCAAGGGAAAGCAGCAGGATGCATGGATGCATGGATGCATGGATGCATGGATGGATGGATGGTAGCATATGGCTGGCTATACAGGGGCTTGGTTTATCTACTCTACCAGAAACACCCTCAGTTTCCTTCCTTCTACGGGGTCAAGGGGTCATAAATACAAAATAATGTGATTTGGCGGATTTGCTAGTGTGTTCACAGTAAAGGGAGCGCTGCACGTATGTGCCAACAGCAGCTGAATAGGGACATTTGGCGCATACTTCATGCCAGCCAAAAAAGAAACAATTTCTGTATTTCCTCTTTTCCTTCCCCAGAGCCACTGTGGGAATGGCCTCAAGCCAGCAGTTTACCCAGAGAGCGTGGCGCCAACGAGATTATGGTGACAAGAAAGCACATGGGGCGTTTGCTCAAACGATCAGGCTGGGCAGAGAGCTGGAGACGTTCCCACCCGCGGCAGCGACCTCCCGGGCTCCTCACCATTTGCATGGCCTCCTCCATCCACTTTCCGATCTCCTCCGCTGACACCGAGCACCCGCCGCCGGTAGCTGGCGTGGATGCCTCCTTCGCCTCCATACCGCGCTGGGGCGGCAGCGAGCTCAGCGCCGGAAGCCCGGGCGCCCAGGGAGCCCCCGCCCGGAACCCGGCGCGCACAGGCTGCGGTTTCCGGGGGGATTCGATCGGCGAGGCACTCGGGAGCGATTTCTGGGCGGACCTGGGTGGCCCCAATCAGTGGAGGCGGCGGCGCGGCGGCCACACAGAAAGCGCCGCCGGGCTGCTGCAGTCCACGCCCCCTTCCCGCTCGGGTGACAGTCCGCGGAAAGTCGCCTTTGCGATTTCTGGAGAGCACCCAGCGGGGCCACGGCGTTCCTGCCGGGTCGGTGGTCCAGGGCCGGAGACAGAGAAACGGCTTCCTGGTGCCCCCCCGCCCCTCCCCCTAGGCAGCCCGCACCTCCAGGGCCTGAAGATGCTGAGATCGACGTGGAATTTTCTCAAACGTCACAAAAAGAAATGTATCTTCCTGGGCACGGTCCTCGGAGGTGGGTGACAGCGTTCTTGGAACGGGGCGTGGGGCGGAGGGGATGGGAGAGGGGTGGCTGTCTTCTAAAATGGAGAGGCCGGGGCCCGCGGTCCGGCATAGGTAGAGGGGAGTCGTTCAACCCTCTTTGGGGAGCGGGCGACACACCTCCAGTGCTCCCCGTCTCCCCAGTTGTGGCGCGCGTGCCCGTCGCCCTGACACTGCCCTTACTCTGCTGGTCGCCTGTCCTTTGTTCTCACGGACCTGGGAGAACTCGCCACCATAAGTTTCTGTTTAAGGCACCATTCTCGTATAGACACATGTTGTTGTTGTTTAATGCTCTTCTGTTGTTTTTCCTGAGATCCTGGGTTGCTCTTTGGCGCTTGGCTCGGCTTTCCCCCTTCGTACAAGTTTCATAATGATTTTCTAGGAGCTGCCTCGGCTCTGTCCGTCGAGTGTTGTGTGAAGGCGATTTGAACGTTTGTAAGTAGCACCCTGGTGCAGAAGGACAGGACGGTACACACTAGACGAGCGAGGCGCAGGCAGTGCTCAGCTCTGCTTCTGCCGCTTTGGAACGCGAGCTGTGCAGGGAGCTGGGCAGTCGGACGCAGCTCTCCGGGGCGCCGCCTTCCCCAGGCTCCTCGGGCTGGGAGCGACGCCCAGGCAGGACCGAGTTGCAGAGGCTGAAAGGAGATTTAGGAACAGATAGCCATCCCGAGAGCCTGTTTCGTCTTGTGCAGTCATTGCGTAATGACAGGAATGTAAAGGAGCGAATAAAACGCCCGGCGAGATACAGGAGAAGAAAATGTAGGGATGTAAAGAAATGTTTAGAATTTGAGTCTTTTTGAGAAATGTTGTCACTAACTACATGCTTTGGTTACAGAAGCGTGTAAAAAAAAAACAAGGAGAGAAATTTCCCAAGGAGTTGGGCTGTTTTTCTTTTACTATTATTAGATTATATTCTATTATTTCCCTCCCCCCCAAACAATTTGAAATTAACAGTACTCGTAGCATCAGTGATTTAGACCTGTTGCTTCTTGAAAGTTTGATGAGGCAAGGAGAGAGGCTTTTCCTAGTCTCTGAGATCTGTCATAATTTGATAATGAAGAAATGCAAATTTTCACTGAATTTTTTGAAAAAAATTTTTACAGATAAAATGTGTTTTTCTGATATATTCAGCCACTGACATCTGTGTATTTAGGTTATGCTAAGACTGTTGAATCCATTTTATTTGTAGAAGCTAAAGATGTATGTCTGATGGAAGAAGTATAAAAAAGTATTTTTGCCACCACAAAAGGAAATGAAAGAATCTCTCTTTAGCAATCTCAGAAAGACTAGTATACCTTTCAAATTCGTGGAAAAATCTAATGGTACAGTAGGAGCAATCATAGGGGAAGCAAAAGATTATACTTAAGAGGTAGTTATAGATTCTGTCAAAAATCTATTGAGAACTTTATAGTTACACATTAAGAGGAATGAGAAAGAAAGACAAGGTTCAGAGAGACAAAGAAAATAATCCTAGTGTTTTATAACAAAAAAGTTAATCTAAAAGACAAAAAGTAGATGACCTTATGGCCTCATTTTTTTTTCTGCTTCACGGGGAAAGGTCCTATAACATGTTACATTTCAATTCATCTAATTCAAGAAATATTTATCAAGTGCCTGTAGTACTTATCAAACAAAGTAATGTGATTGGAAATAGAGGATTTACAGAGATTTCTAATAGTGCTAGTTACCATTGTGTGCTAAGCTCTTGTATTCAGTGGGGATGACAACAGGATAGTTCTTGTTATCCCCATTCAAGAATGTGGGAACTAGAGCCCTAAGAATTTAAGAAATGTGCCCAGGGTCTCAGAGTTGCTAAGAAGGAAGCTAGAATTCAAATCCAAGTGTGTTAGATCCCAAAGCACATTCTCTTTCCACACTATACTGTTTTGCCTTCACGGACTTAATAGTCTGTTAGAAATGAGAAGTGTCTTAGTCCATTCATGCTGCTGTAACAAAGTACCACAGACTGGGTGGCTTATAAACAACATAAACTTATTTCTCACAGTTCTGGAGGCTGGAAGTCCAAGATGGGGGAGTCAGAATGGTTCATTGAGGGCTTGCTTCCAGGTTGCACACTTGTAGCCTCAAATGGCAGAAGGTGCTGTGGAAACCCTTTCATAAGAATACTAATCCCATGTAGAAGGGCTTCACCCTCATTACCTAAACATCTCCCAGAGACCCCAACTTCTAATACACTCATATCAGGCATTAGGATATCAATATGTGAATTCGGGGCAGGAGGGCACACAAACATTCACAATCTAGCAACAAGTATACAAATAAAGTACAAAACAAGCTGAAAAAATATTATACAGATCAAACTAACAGGTAGCATGTAAGATTATAAAAAAAAAAAATCAAGAAAGGGCTTAATGAAAGCCACATATTAACAGGTTCAAAAGCTAGATATCAACATGTATGCTCCAAGAGGTAGGAAAAAAAATCTAAGTAAAAACTTTGAGGTGCAGGCCTTCTTAAGTAGGGATTTCCTGCATTTTGGGTGAGTAATTGCTTTAGACCAATTTGTACAATTTGAGCAGTTTATGCAAAGACTAGATTTTGGTTCTCAAATTTTTTGACTGGAGGTATTCTTTACACTTTTAAAAATTAAGGACTCTAAAGAGGCTTTTAAAACTTGTATCTAATTAATAGTTGCCATATTAGAAATTAGAACTAAGAATTTTTTTTAAATAACAATTTAAAAAATAGTAAACTTGTAACATATTAACATAATTATTTTCTAACTTAGCAAGAAGAGTGGTATTGTTTTAAATTTTTGCAAATGTCTTTACTGTCTGGCTTAATTGACGAAAGCTGGATTCTCATATTTCATTTTGTACTTAGTCATTTGCAATGCCACAGGTCATATAGCCTCTAAATACGCCACTGTAAACTCATGAGAGAATGGGAATGAGCATCGACCTATGAACCAGGACATCAGGGTTGCACTCCCGGTCAGGTCACAGGCCTGGGTTGTGGGCTCAATCCCCAGGCCAGAATTCTGGCACCAGTCACGATCTGATGCTCCTGAGCTCCATAATTTAGCTAACTAATTTTCTTTCTTCATTCTTATCTTCCTAGAGAGACAAATCTGACAAATCAGAATTTATAAAATTTGAGAATGAGAAACTGAGTAAATTAGAATTTGTGTAGGAACTTAAGTCCTAACTCAAGAAAAATAATGGATTGTGGAACTTTACCCTAAACCAGTATTAGTTTACTAGTTTACTAGGACTGCCATAACAAAGTACCACACACTGAGTGGCTTAAGCAACAGAAATTTATTGCTCATGGTTCTGGGGGCCAGAAGTCTAAGATCAGTGTGTTGGCAGGATTTGTTCGTTTTGGCTGTAAGAGAAGAATCTGTTTCAGAGCCCTCTCCTTGGCTTAGAGATGGCCATCTCCTCCCCGTTGACATAAGAAACGTTCAAACCTGTGGAGAAGTTTGTAAAAGTTTATTTCAGCCAAACCGACATCATGCCAGGAAGCAAGATCTCAGATGTTGACAGTTTTGCAGTTTCTTTTATAAATTTGGGACAAAAGAGGGAATGTATGGAAGATTATGTGAAAGTGAGAAAAGCAAGATACAGAATAGTTAACAAGATTATGTGCTCCCTCCAGGGTGGTTACTCCTTTGAGCTATCTACAAAAGAGGATTATTCTGGCATTTCAAGGTTGTGTTTACCTAGATGCATAAGAACAATGGACAGGGCTTGCTTCAGGCAAAGATAAACCTTTTTATAGGCGGTAGGTGTGACCTGCCCAATTAGGGATTTATGGTCACCCTGTGAGGTTACTTTCAGCCATATTTATTAGAGAGCCTCCTTTTCATCCATATCCCTGTGTCTTCACATCATCTCTCTACACATGCTTGTGTCTAAATTTTCTCTTCTTAAAAGAACATCAATCAAATTGGATTACTCTCTACACATGCTTGTATCTAAATTTTCTCTTCTTATCAGAACACCAGTCATTGGATTAGGGGCCTCCTTAATGACCTCCCTTTAACTTGATTACCTCTGTAAAGACCCTATCTGCAAATACCGTAACATTCTGGAAGTACTGGAGCTTCAACGTGGGACTTCAGGAGGGCACACAGTTCAACCATAGCAATTCATTTTCTCCTTTTAGCTTTAGTTAGAATATACTACATTTATTAAACAAATACAGTAGTTCCTAAAGAATTTTTATCAGACACATTGAGAATCTAATGAAAGCAGTGGACCTCCCCCCTGGAAAACACATACTAATCAAATTTACTATTATTCCAGAAAAATGTTTGCTATACAAAGCTACACACAGGGCATTATTGTAGTGTTTCACTTTACACTATCATTGTTTGAGAAGTAATAATTTTACACATAACTTTTAGCAATCTGTTGTATAAAGAAAGTATAAGCAATTCATTGAGAAGTAACTGTTATATAGCAGTTGCCTGTCAACGAGTTACTTTGTGAAACATCAGTCAATTTCTTCATTTTGTTGGTTTTGTGACACCATCATCAGTTTAGGATAGAGTAAAAAGAAAGGTAGCTATGAAGACAATTATATGAAATTTATTTGTTCCTTAAGCATGATTATAATGCCTTTATTTGTACACAAACATAACAGCAATCATACTTTATTTCTGCCTAATTATTTGTACTACATACCCTTTTATTGAACTTATGTTTAAGGATACGTAACATGTTATCTGTTCATCTATAATGCTTATGTTAGTGAAAATAATTGTGGATGTGTGTTTTTTGCTCTAGAGCAGTAGTTCTCAACCTTCTGGCCCTTTAAATACAGTTCCTCATGTTGTGACCCAACCATAAAATTATTTTCGTTGCTACTTCATAACTGTAATGTTGCTACTGTTATGAATCGTAATGTAAATATCTGATATGCAGGATGGTCTTAGGCGACCCCTGTGAAAGGGTCGTTCGACCGCCAAAGGGGTTGCGACCCACAGGTTGAGAACCGCTCCTCTAGAGTTCCTAGAGGAATGCTTCCTCCCCATCTGTGACAAACAGACCAAATTCAATTATTTAGGTCATGCACAATTATTAGGTTCTTTTTGGTAGATATTAGGGGCCCAGACAGTTGGAGATAGGTGAGGATTAGTTACTCCCCTACAATCTTGTTTGCCAGTTTATAATGAAGCAAATTCTGTCACACATAAAAACATCTGTTAGCAAGGCATAGGAAAACAGTATGATAAGCTTGTTTTATGAATTCAGTGAAATCCCAATGTCCTTTTTGGTGCTACATTTTATCTTATATTTTTTTAAGTATTATATATTGATTGAAGAAAAGATGAAAAATACAGAGGAGCGAACAGAAGAAAAAAAGCATCTGTTATCCCACTATTCAACAATGATAATTATTTATTATATGTTAGAAATTAAAGCCCATCTGTTTTTCTATGCAGTTGCTTTGCTTACATTAAAAAGAAAGACTTCTTATTTTATCATCTAAAATATAACATGGTTATCTCCTTGAGTCATTAACTATTTCATAATGTGGTTTTTAATAGCTACATCAGATTCCATTGTATGGATAGACCATAATTTATTTAAGCAGTTCCCTATTGCTGGTCATTTAGAATATTTCCAGTTTACTATTAAAGACTTTGTAGACTTAATTCCTTTGTTTTTCATACCTAGTCCTTATGTATCTGTCTATCTTTGGCTGTTAAAATGATAATCTCCTTTTCCTTTTCTTTAAGTTACAATTCTTATATAATTCTTTAATTTATATTTTTAAAAGTTGTAATTTTAGCATTTTGCTAATATAAGCATTATCTATACTAATAAAAGAGTAATATGCTAATTAGACTGGGAGACCTTCCCCACAACCTTCTGGACAAAGCCATGGTGGTGGGGCCGAGGCAGAGGCAGTTAGGGGCAATCAGGCCAGGAGGGGAGGGCAGTTGGGGGCGATCAGGCCGGCAAGGGGGTGCAGTTGGGGGTGAGAAGGCCAGCAGGCAGAGTGGTTAGGGGTGATCAGGCAGGCAGGCAGGTGAACGGTTAGGAGCCAGTGGTCCCGGGTTGCGAGAGGGATGTCCGACTGCTGGTTTAGGCCCGGTCTCTGTGGAATCGGGCCTAAACCGGCAGTCGGACTTCCCCCGAGGGATCCCAGATTGGAGAGGGTGCAGGCTGGGCTGAGGGACACCCTTCCCCTCACCCCCCCCCCCCCCCCCCGCACAAATGTCTTGCACCAGGCCACTAGTATTTTAATAAAGCAGGTTAAAATACTGTTTGGAATATTTAATACACTAGTTATTGGATTAATATACTAGCTTGTTTTAAATATAAAATTTTAGGAATATATATCCTGGGGAAATATGGACAGAAGAAAATCAGAGAAATACAAGAAAAGGAGGCTGCAGAATATATTGCTCAAGCACGACGACAGTATCATTTTGAAAGTAACCAGAGGACTTGCAATATGACAGGTAAGGCCAGAGAAAAATTTACACATGTACAAAGTTATTTAATAATTTATAGTAATTTTTTTATTTATAAGTTTTTTTTATTAAATCTTTATTGTTCAGATTATTACAGTTGTTTCTCTTTTTCCCCCATAGCTCCCCTCCACCCGGTTCCCACCCCACCTTCTGCCCTTACCCCCCACTGTCCTCATTCATAGGTGTACGATTTTTGTCCAGTCTCTTCCCGCACCCCCAAACACCTTTCTACCCCGAGAATTATCAATCCACTCCCTTTCTATGCCCCTGATTCTATTATATTCACCAATTTATTCTGTTCATCAGATTTTTTATTCACTTGATTTTTAGATTCATTTGTTGATAGATATGTATTTGTTGTTCATAATTTTTATCTTTGCCTTTTCTTCTTCTTCCTCTTCTTAAAGAATACCTTTCAGCATTTCATATAATACTGGTTTGGTGGTGATGAACTCCTTTAGCTTTTTCTTATATGTGAAGCTCTTTATCTGACTTCAATTCTGAATGATAGCTTTGCTGGGTAGACTAATCTTGGTTGTAGGTTCTTGCTATTCATCACTTTGAATATTTCTTGCCACTCCCTTCTGGCCTGCATAGTTTCTGTTGAGAAATCAGCTGACAATCGTATGGGTACTCCCTTGTATGTAACTAACTGTTTTTCTCTTGCTGCTTTTAAGATTCTCTCTTTGTCTTTTGCTCTTGGCATTTTAATTATGATGTGTCTTGGTGTGGTCCTCTTTGGATTCTGTTTGTTTGGGGTTTTCTGCGCTTCCTGGACTTGTAAGTCTGTTTCTTTCACCAGGTAGGGGAAGTTTTCTGTCATTATTTCTTCAAATAGGTTTTCAATATCTTGCTCTCTTTTAGATTGCAAAGGGCCAGGACTTTCATATGCAAAAGCCTCTGGGCACAGCTTGGGGGGGGGGGGGGGTCGCAGGGAATCAACAGGATGAGCAAACAGCTATGGCTAATCCTCAGCCCTGCCCTAAGAGGCCCTGAGTCTCAGTGTCCAGCAGTAATCGCTGCAAGCACCTCTGAGAGAAAGCCGCCCTCGAGTTCTGCCCGATGCCAGACAGTCTAATTTCTCCCCGTATGAGTCTGGGTCCCCAAAGACTCACCTGGAACTGGAGTTCAGAGCAGTCGGGAGCTTGTGTCTCCTTCCCGATTAAAAAAGACAACTGTTTCCTCAGTTGCCAGCCCTTTCCACGTGCGCCTCCATACCTCTGCACTTCCGCACCTCCTCTGAGTCTCGGTGTGCTTTTCTCTTTCCTTCTAGTTGTAGAATTTCCACTCAACCTGCCTTCCTGTGGTTCTGGATGATGTCCGTTTTGTCTTTTAGTTGTATTTTTGAAGTGGTTGTGCAAGGCAGCAATTTCAGGTGTTTACCTATGCCGCCATCTTGGTTTCTCCTGACTTATATTAATTTTTATACCTCCAGGACAGAAAAGGCAAAGGAAGAATGATAAAATCTAGCAAGTATTTAATTCATGATTTAACTAAATTACATGTGGATTTTTAAAATCAATATGCAATATAAACGTTCACTCATTCATTTTATTTATTCATTCAGCAAATAATTTTGGTACCCAACAGTGTTTTTTGAAAACAGAAGGTGAATGATTTTAAAAAAAAAAAAAAAAGGTCCGTGACCTTCAGAATTTATGTGCTAGTGAGAGAAAAACAGGATACAGGATAATCATCAAATAAGTAACTTTGAGCAGTGACAGCTTCTATAAGGAGAATAAAGCTGTGGGAAGGGTGGGGTTGCTCTTTAAGATAAGGCAGTCTGGAGAGACAGGCCTCTTTGAGGATAAATCAAGTGATAAAATGGAGGAAGCCATGCAAAAGCCAAAATGCCTGAGGTGGGAACCAGCGTGGCACATTCAAGAAACAGCACAGAGGCTATGTACCTAGAGCAGTGGTGGCAAACCGTGGCTCGCGAGCCACATGCGGCTCTTTGGCCCCTTGAGTGTGGCTCTTCCACAAAATACCACGTGCGGGTGCGTACGTACAGTGCGATTGAAACTTCATGGCCCATGCACAGAAGTCGGTTTTCGGGAAGGAGATAGACAAAAACAAGTATACAAGACGAGTGTGGATGGGAGAGTTGGAAGGGGTCGACCTCAGCGAATGTACCTCAATCAGATTGAGGACATTTTTAGCAACGGCCAGCTTAGGAGTACCCTAATTAAGTTAATAACAATGTACCTTGCAGCGGGAAGGCCGGGGAGGGTTGGAGGACAGGAGTAGTGGGGTAAGAGATCAACCAAAGGACTTGTATGCATGCATATAAGCATAACCAATGGACATAAGACACTGGGGGATAGGGGAGGCTAGGGGAATGTCTAGGGCGGGGGGCGAAAAATGGACACATATGTAATACCCTTTGTATTACTTTAAGCAATAAAAAAATAATAATAAAATACAAAAAAAATCATCCTGAAATAGTAAAAAAATAAAAATAACACTGTACCTACCTATATAGTTTAAGTTTAAAAAATTTGGCTCTCAGAAATTTCAATCGTTGTACTGTTGATATTTGGCTCTATTGACTAATGAGTTTGCCGACCACTGAGCTAGAGCAATGAGCAGTGAAAGAGTGATAGGAAGTAAGGCTGCAGGTAGGCTTGATCCCATTGGGCCTTATCTGTCATAGGAAACAGTCATAAGTTTGTTAAATTTACAGTAAGCAACTACACACCTGTAAGTTTAGCACTATAGTATATAGTCATGCAGTGTTAATTAATGGTAATAATTTAACTTCCAGAGCTAGAAACCTACTGGGCGAATGCCATACCAAAATCATTCGAATGGCATAACTCCTGAAAAAGTTAGTTCTCAAATCCATGTCGAACCTGGTGGGGTTATTTTGGGGGAAAGGTGGGGCTTAAAAAATATTTAAAGCTTAATCCTTTCACTAACATTTTTTCAAGAACAGTTAATTTAGAACAAATTTATAAAGGTAAATTTTCTTTGTGAAATTTTAAAAGTAAAATTTTTTTCAGAGTTGAAAAGACTTTTATTTTTAGTTCAGCTCCATTTGACAGATAAAGAGGCTGATATTAGGAGGTAAAGAGACACATCTAAAATAGCTGGAGTATGATTTTTATATTTAAAATGATAATACTTAATTCTATAAAGCAAATAGTAATCATAAATACTGGATAAGGCACAATGAGTAAGAGCAAAGGCTCAAGGGTAAGTCAGATCTGGTTCAGTTACCAGTTTTGCCTTGTAATATCTGTTGGGGGGGGGGGGGCAAATCTAAATCCTAGTTCTCTCCTTTATAAAATTATCATCATAAAACCCAGTTTGTGAATGTTTTGTGATGTGATGAGATAATACAGATAAAGTGCTTCGTATACAATACTCAGTAAAGAACTTTTTTTAAAATGGCATAATCATTTAAATTGATATTTAGTATTCAATACAGTGGTGCTACCAAGGACATTTGAATGCATTTTTAAAGTCTAAGAACAATCCAGTTTTGCTTCAGAAAATTGAAAAAGGTAGGTCCTGGAGTCTCAAAATATATCTCGGTTTGGCATGGATCCTAGTGTCAGTTTGTCCTCTGGAGAGCAGACACTAAGATGGGATTAGATGTGGGAGAAATTAATTGGAGGAAGCACCTATGAAGAATAAAGGGGAGGGAGCAGAAGTAGACAAGGAAATCCTTTGGACCACAGTGCAGGTCTGACCAGTGAATGGAAAGGGAGAAGGAGGGAAGATTAGGTAAGAAGAGTCTCTGTGTACAGTGCAGTTCTCAGAAGGTTTCAGCAGGCCAGTGTGGAGTTCTCAAGCCAAAGTCCCCTGGTAGATGTGTGTCAGGATGGCCGAATGGTGTAAGGCACCAGACTCAAAGTTCCCTGTTAGAGGAGTCCCACGGGAATGGGCCTGCTTCAGTATCCCCACTGAGCATTCTCATTGGCTGGGAGCAGTGCAGGCATGGTAATGGTCCATGAGGGGTGGCAGCTGTGGCTATCAGCTAACAATCTCCTCCCAGAAGAAGATGTGGTGGCACATTTCCATGACCATCTCAGCCCTCAGATGAATAAATAGCTGACCACAGGCAATTCAAAATAAAATATGGTAATCAATATAAGCCAAAATATAGGTTCTGAAAAACTTTCCAAATTAGCTTTCTGGTATACATTGATAATGGGGTTACAAATCATGTGATTAAATTTCTATCATTTTGAATAAGATGTAATGGATATACTATAACAAATTTAGTACTTTTAGGTAAATGTAGCTAGTTTTTCTGCCCAAGAAATTATCTCCAACTTGAAAGATAGCATCTAATGACTGTGCTTCTGTGCCCTGACTGTTGGCTTTATCTTCTTCATGATTTTACTAAAGATTTGGAAGGAATGCTTATCAAATTTACAAATGACACAGTGCTTGGGTGCATAGCTGACACTGTAAATAAAGTTTTAAGATGCAAAATAGTCTTGTCTCATATAAGTGCTAGATTGGGATAAGTGAATTGTCTGCATTAAAAGTCAGTGGTACAGATAGAATTATCTAAGCTTGCTTGGAAGCAGGGTGTATGAGTAACGGTTGGGAATTCTAAATGAGCATAGGCTTGTTCTGAACAAATAGTATGCTGTTACTTATTTAGGGATACTAATTTAATCTGAGACTTTAGTAAGAAAGTCTGTGGTTCAGATCAAAAGTAGTTACAGCATGTTCTGCAGTAGTCAGAGTACGTACGGGTCCATTTCTGCCTCTCACACACATGTTAAGAAGATACAAACTAGAATGTGTCAGAAGACGCTAAGTAAGGGTAATAATAAGCACAAACACTTACTGAGCATTTCCATGTGCAGAGAAGCAGTGTTTTAAATGCTTTATATGTCTCAATCCTTACAACCATCCTGTGAGGTACAGCTAGTGTCATTCTTGGTTTACAGATGAGGATACTGAGGCACAGAGAGGTTAAGTTACTTGCTTAGGGTCATACACATACATGGCTGGTGAAGGGTTGTCTTGTGATTTGTGGTTGTACTGGATATGTTTATCATGGAGACCAAATGGCTAAAAAAGACATGAATGCTGTATTGAACCAGATACAGAATTACATTTGTTCAGTGTTCATACAGACGGCTAGAAGAGAAGAGTAGACTTGTCTTTGGTTCAATAGGCTAAAGTGGAAAGTAAAAAGCTCCTACCTCTCAGGAGAATTATTAAAGAGATTCTCCTCAAATCATGTTTTACTACACAATCTTTAAACTCGTTCCCTACTAACTCCATTTGCTGAATGTAGGACTCTAGCCTTGCTTGTTCTGGGGAAGGTAACATATCATGTTTGGCCAAATATAGATAGACAAGTACACTAAGAGATAAGCCACCTTTTACTCAGTTGGCTCTGAGCTACTACTTGAGTTAATATTCTAAATACCTCAGGTGGGCCCTGGCAGATATTGCCCAGTGGTTGGAGTGTTGTCCGGTGCACCAAAGGGTCACAGGTTCAATTCCCAGTCAAGGGCCGGTACCTGGGTTGCAGGTTTGAACCCAGGCCCCTGTTGGGGTGTGTGCAGGAGGCAACCAACAATGTCTCTCTCTCACATTGATGTTTTTCTCTCTCTCCCTCCCTCTTCCACTCTAAAAAGCCAAAGGAAAAAATATCCTCAGGTGAGGATTAACAAAAACAAATAAATACCTGGAGTGATTTGATCCCACAGCTTGAGGAAGTATGCTAAAGCTGCATAGTACAGTACTGAAATAAATGTCTAGAGTCGGTTAAAAGCTGAATGTTCTATAGAAAAAATAATGTGGATTTTGTAATTAATAAGCCTTGCCTACAGGAAGTAAAAAACATACACTAAAGTTTTCCCTTTTAGAATGTGAGATTTATAATTGACTTTTTTAAAATTATTACTTATTTAGTGTTATAAACTCATTTTAAATTTATATGTGTACATTTTCCCAATACTTCTTATACCATGCATAGAGCCATAAATGAAACAACTCCTATAAATTACATGTAATCTTTCTTCCATAGAGTACTGTATTTTATTTTATCTTCATGTTACTCTTGGGAGTTACAGGCAGTAGCCATTGGCAAAACTAAAAGTACGGCTTAGCAACTCTTCATTCCTAGCCTGGTGACTTTTGCTGAGCCTATAATAAATGCTTATCACTTTGTAGTGTTTAATATATAAGTGTTTTTCTAAAATTAGAAGTAAAATGTGAAGCAAAAAGTATAGCTAAACATAAAAATGTTATTTTATTATATCAGAAATAGACTTTTTTTGTAAAGAAAATTTGGAGAGTACAGAAAATAGAAAAAAAAGAATCACCCATAATCCATAGCCCAGATGCCATCACTGTTGGCATCTGGGAATAATTCTTCCCATACTTTTTCCTATGTATACTTGTTTACATTGCTATAATCATAGTATGTATAAAATTTTGTTCACTTAACATAAGCAGATAAATGATTTATTAGCATATTATCCATTTTTATTAACATTAATAATAATTATTTGAAAACTCTAATCCTGGCCTTCCTCCCAGCCTAAAACAATGTGCATTTCTCAGGGAAGGCAGTCAGTCATAGCACTGTGACCTCTCTTATTTTCTGTTTGTGTTACAGTGCTGTCCATGCTTCCAACACTGAGAGAGGCCTTAATGCAGCAACTCAATTCTGAGAGCCTCACAGCTCTGCTAAAAAACAGGTAAATGCAAGGTACAGTATTTTTTTACTTATATTCTGCACTTAAAGTGTGTACAATTCACTGAAATACTTTTCAAACATCTTTGTTTCCTTGTTTTTTTTCTAATTAAAGCTTACAATATATAGGCTTATTTGAAAAAAAATACTAACTATATCTTTGAATTCATATTTTATTTTGTCCATTTATTTATACTCTACCTTGATGCACAAAATATTTGGGTGAACAAATATTTATATACATTCTGGTTTTTATATAAATCTTATATCACTGACATTACTCAGAAATGTAATTATTGAGTCCTTATGGAATGTGTTTCTGAACCAAATACTAAGTTATGTTGAACAGTGGGCTTCTTAGAGAGTTTACAATTTAAGAGGTAAATCATGTGAACATGCATTTTAGGTAAATAAGGCATATGAACTTACATTTTATTTTATTTTTTTCTTTATTGATTAAGGTATTACATATGTGTCCTTATCACCCCATTGCTCCCCCCCTCCACCCCCCTGAACTTACATTTTATATTATTTACAAAGTGAAGTACAAATACAACATGAGCAACAGTAATGATAATTTACCTTACCATGACAGTTTACTGGCTACACAGCACTTTCACACACAGGACCTTGTATATGGAGTGCAGTATGTGTTGGGTATTCTAATTTGGTGGTGCTGTGTAAATTTGAGAAGAGCTCTAGAAAGAAATGGCTTCTTATTTTAATGGACAAGATGGAGGAAAATGGTCTTAAATAAGTTTTAATCATTGTGGCCTTACTGAAATATTCACTTTCCTAGTAATCATCCTTCAATATCCAGGGGAAGAAAGTGCTATTTCTTCTTTTTTTAAAATATATTTTATTGATTTTTTACAGAGAGGAAGGGAGAGAGATAGAGAGCCAGAAACATCGATGAGAGAGAAACATCGATCAGCTGCCTCCTGCACACCTCCCACTGGGGATGTGCCCGCAGCCAAGGCACATGCCCTTGACCGGAATTGAAACCGGGACCCCTCAGTCCGCAGGCCAACACTCCATCCACTGAGCCAAACCAGTCAGGGCGAAAGTGCTATTTCTAAACTCTCTCTGTGCCAGGCCCAGTGCAGATACCTTACATGCATGCTCCCATTTAATTTTCACATTGAATTAATTTTCACATTTGTTCCATTTAATTTTCACAATATCCTTGTGAGGCAGATTATTCATTCATTTTGCACATAGGAATTTACTGCTCAGATAGCTTCAATAGCAAGCTGGAAAATGTCTTTGAAACATTTTCTGTATTCAGAGAATACCTCCCAAAGTAACAATAGATTTGTGTACTTGGAAATTTTTTTATCTGATTAAAATGTAATTCTATGATAAGGGGTTTTCCTTCTAAATTTCATCTTTATTAGAGGTTGATATAATTTCACCATTACTTACAGATGTAAGTTCAGTTTATGTTAGTTCATATAATTATATGAAGAAGAAACATATCAGCAGATTACTCCCAAGTAAATCTTTAATTATCACATGTATATCCATAAATAGGGGATAAATAAATATGTATATAAGTAGGGAATAAAAATGTATTTTAATTATCTTAAGTTTTAGTTTTATTAGGGAGACATGACAAATGAAATAAGTAAGTAGCACTTTTATAAAAGCAACATAAAAACAGTGGCATTCTTCCTTCTTGGTGACTCTTTCCTGCAAGACTCTAGGTTCCCTGTGATAATTAACAAAGGGTCTCTTTCCCTTTAAGACATTGCCATCCTAGGAAAGAAGTAGATGAAATAAATTATAATTCAAGACATAGTATGTTTGATCTGTGGTTTAAAAAAATGCAAAAGCAAAATGTGGGGTGAAGATGTGTTGGGCTAGAGAAAACAGGGATTCGTTTTGAAGGCTAATCTTGGACAGCTTTACAGAAAAGGTGTCATTCCTCTTTTCTTACTCCATTGCAGAGAAGAGAATTTCTTAAGTTCCTAAGAGTTAAAAATGGGCAACAGTTGTAATTCACTGTTTCCTTCTTATATCTCATTATTATTTTTCCTTACCTTCCTTTTGATTTGAAATTACTGTTTGCAGTTTGAAGAAAAAAAATGTCCATTTGAAAGACATTTGCATAAAGCGGGACTTGAACCCTTACAAAGTATAATTAAATAGGCCTCCAACCTAATGATTGTTTTTGTATTAGTTTTCAGTCAACTAAGGTCTCTTATAAGTCTGTCAAGCAATTTACTTTTCTCTTTAAACTAATTATGATAATAGCTGATCAGAAATAAAGAAAAGATTTGGTAGTCTTATTTTGTAAGTTTAGCAAATAGGCTTCCGTCACTGTTTTTAGTACTTGGCATTCTTATTGAAGATCGATAATGACAATGATGTTTTGGTGACAAAGAATCTTTAACATCTTCTATCATAAAAGAAATAGAACACTTTGAAAGGATTAGTTTAATTCTTAAGACATTTTAGTGACACTAAATAATTCAAAGTATGAATTCATGATGTATTTTATCTCTTTGAACGTATGTTCATATAAGTATATAAATACACATATATGTACTATCTTAGTCTGCTGAAGAAGCTTAGAATTGCTACCCAGTAGTGATGAATATCTTTAATCAAAGGTTGCCATCTCAGGCTACCTTTTCCTGCAACCAGGAAGTAGGACTCTTGGAGAAATAGCTGATTTCAGGTCTGCATCAAGAAATGAACAAGATAAACACAGACAGTTTTTTATGTCAGTAAGCAAGGAAGCTATCAAAGACTAAATGGGGTCATGTCAAAAGGATTCAGGAACTAACCTGAATAGTTCCCCCCCACTTGGTCAAAGATGGACAGTTTGAACATTAATAAGAATAAGTGAGTTGAAATACATCAAATATGTATTTAAATTCATGTGTCTGTAATGATACTTTAAAGCAAAAAAATACTTCATTATTTACCTTTGAATGATTATAGAATCTACTTCATTATATGTAAAATGGTAAATGTGGGGAAAAATAAACATTGTTTCTGTTTTTCCTACATGATTTTATAATACATACTAGAGGCCCAGTGCATGAAATTTGTGCCCTTGAGGGGGGTCCCTCAGCCCAGCCTGCACCCTCTCACAGTCCGGGAGCCCTGGGGAGCGGGCCTAAGCCATCAGTAGGACATCCTTAGTGCTGCCACCGAGTCAGGAGAGGCTCCCACCACTGCTGCTGTGCTTGCCAGCCAAGAGCTTTTGCGTTGAGTGCCTGCCCCCTGGTGGTCAGTGCACGTCATAGCAATTGGTTGTTCTGCCGTTTGATTGACTTGCATATTAGCCTTTTATTATATAGGATATGCATATGCTCTGAAAGAGGAAAAAAGACTAGAAGGATATATACCAATATGCTAGTGCAAATAGTTGTTATTACTGGTTACTGAAATTATAGTTGTTTTTTACTATATTTTGTGGGTTTTGTTTTTGCAGTTACCCTGTAATAAACTATAATTAAATATACAGTTATAAAATGCAAAGTTTTCTGTTAGATGATCTGAATATTATTTTCATATATTCTGATTTTTTTCTTTAGGCCTTCAAACAAGTTAGAAATATGGGAAGATCTGAAGATAATAAGTAAGCTTACATACTCTATAACAGCAGCACATCCTTAAAATATTTCTGAAGGGAAAATTTTGTACTCTATGTTGATGACTCTTCTTTATCTCATAGAGTTGTCAGGATTAGATAATTTTCATAAAACAAGTAGTTCAGTGTCTGGTCATAGAAAGTACTGAGTATTAATAGTGTAGGTGGTATTATTGTATTGTTATGATAATATGTACACCTGTCCTAGACTATATATGCTTATACTAGGTACTGATATCTGCAATATTATACTTTAAAGTTTTTATTCCAACCCAGATAGTAACTTTACTTTGTATTGTGTGCACACTTTCATTAGTGATAAAAGTTTGAAGCAAAGAACTGTCCTAGCACATATATATATCCATGTCTTATAACTTCATACTATCATTCCTCCATTTTCCCATCCATTCAACTAAACTTTATCAACTGAATCATGCTTAAGGCTTCCTGTTTGAAAATAAATCTTTGTAGTACCCTCTTTTTCCTTTGATCTATTATGCAGTCTCACACCCCTATATAATACCAAATATTTCTACATTCCCTTCTCCTCACTCCCACTCACTCTTTGACACACTACAGCCTGGATTCTACTCCCATGTCTCCACCCATGGAGATCTTGCAACATTAGTAGTAACTTTTATGTTGCTAAATCCACTGGACATTTTTCTCCTGTGGACCTCATGGCAGCAGTCAACACCTTTGCACTCTCCTCTGTTTTGAACACTGTTCTATGCTACTGTGACACCTCATCTCCAGATGTCTCCTTGTGTTTCTGTGCCTTCCCCTACCCTTTAATGGGCTCATCCTCCTTTGCCTGCCTTTGAAAGCTGGAGTTCTTCCAAGCTTAGTAAAATTCTTTTACTCTGAATTAGCTCCCTGGGAAAACCAGAGTTCTGAGGCTGCAACTCTTAGTGCTTCCCAGTCCTTTCTTATTTAACTTTTTAAAGTTAATAATATGTAATCCTTCATTCAATATATTGCTTAATGTTTTAATTAAGAGATCATACCTAATGTACATTAAAAAGTTATGAGATAGACTTTGAAATATTTTGAATTGACATATTTTTGTATTTGAAACAGTTACAAATGTATTTTTAAGTCATCTTATGAAAAAATAACCATAGCAATGATGCGTGTCTTTACACATTTATTTGTGTTTTAATAATAGTACCAATGGTTGTTTTTTTCCTCTATGAAGGTTTTACAAGAAGTATTGTAGCTGTATATAGTACATGTATGCTGGTGGTTCTTTTGCGAGTCCAATTAAACATTATTGGTGGATATATTTACCTGGATAATGCAGCAGTTGGCAAAAATGGCACTGTAAGTGGAATAAACTTAAAATAGATAGTGCCCTTTGTTTCAAGAGGTTCTAATTTTAACCGAATATTACTACTTTTGATAATTTCTCTAAATTAAATATCTTTATATTTCATGTGATTTTAAACTTTTAGCATTATTATTTTTTATATTTTGAAACTAGACTTTTTGTTATGTTAAAGAATTTTATATTGCCCATTCATCCAGGTCCTGAAAATCTCAGCTCAAGTTACATTGAAAATATTTACTAATAATATTGTGTAATTTAACCTTCTATTTTGTACAGACAGTCCTTGCTCCCCCAGATGTCCAACAGCAATATTTATCAAGTATTCAACACCTCCTTGGAGATGGTAAGATTCTTATTTGTGACCTGTAAACTAATTGTAATTCATTCATTTGTATTATTGAGGAATTTGAAAAGTAAACAAGGCTTTATGTTTGTTTTCTTTTAATAGGCCTGACAGAGCTGATCACTGTCATTAAACAAGCTGTGCATAAGACTTTAGGAAGGTGAGGCATTTTGCTTCGGCTTTTCTGACTTCTGATTCTAATGAATAAAAGAAAAATTAGAATTGTTCTAGCGAAGCTAGTAACTTGACAAAGGTTGTTCATGAAATTCTTTGTAAGCTAGTAAGAGACATAGCCCTTGGATATTGCATTGTGGAATCCATTTTCTGTGTTAGTAACGACCTTTTGATACTGAGGATAAACTCTTAATGTTTCATTGTTTTGTATTGATTTCCAAACCAGAAATATTTGGATTGTGGGTTAAAAACCTACTTTAAAATTTGCCTCTGAGGCTTTTATCTCCCACTTATACTGGTAATGTCTATAATTACAGTGGGAATTTTCTTGCGAAATCTGCAGCAAGATTTTTCTTGGCTCTGTAGTAATGCCCCTTAACTGATGGCTGATTTCTTAATCTACTCAAGTGATTTCACAGTCAGCAGTTTCAGGTTTGACTGGATAAAACAGGATCTCAGATAGTAACCTGATAGGAAAAAAGTGTGTGTAGGATGTATGGTATAGTTTCAATTAATCCCAATTTCCTTTTCTCTGTTTCTAGTGTTTCTCTTAAACATTCTTTGTCCCTTTTGGACTTGGAGCAAAATCTGAAAGAAATCAGAAATCTCGTTGAGGAGCATAATTCTTCCTCTTGGACTAATAACAATGGATATAAATCTTTATTATGCCATTATATGATGCCAGATGAAGAAACTCCATTAGCGGTTCAGGTACTTAATTCATGACCATTTAACCAAAGCTCTTACTCTATATATTTAAATTTTTTACTGTCTCTTAAAATGTAGATTTCTGAGTCTCTTAAAATGTAAATATTTGAAAAATATATATTTCAATAATTTAAATAAAACTCATTAATTTAGTAAACAAATTTCATATGATTTCTAGTTAGAAACATTTATAATTTTAGATATTCATCAAATTTTTATTGAGTATTAGTTATGTGACAAGTACTATGATGTATGATTAGGATATAAAATGAATAGGACATGCTCATTACATGTGAGAAGCTCAGGAGACAAATTCAGTTCATGTGGCTAGAGAATATTGTATTTCTATGAGATCAAGTAGCAGAAGATAGAGCTAGCCCAGCCGGTGTGGTTGAGCATCAACCTATAGACCAGGAGGTCATAGTTCAATTCCTAGTCAGGGCACATGCCTGGATTTCTGGCTCGTTCCCAGCAGGGGGCCTGTAGGAGGCAGCCGATCAATGATTCTCTCTCATCATTGATGTTTCTTTCTCTCTCTGCCTCCCCCTTCCTCTCTGAAATCAATAAAAATATATTTTAAAAAAAAGAAAGGTAAATTTTAATCAGGCCAGTTACCACTATCACATTTGTTTTTTAAAATAAATCAATGATGGCACTATCTAAGTGGACTGAAGGAAGTTGTCATCTAGTTGAGAAACAAAGAAAGCCTAATCTAGCAGTTGCCCACCATGGTGTTGCTGCACCTTTGTGTTTCAGGCAGTTGTGATTTACGTTATTCATTGATTAAGAATAATAAAAATGCCAAAGAGTGCAGGTTCTGTATCTCATTTTAAAATAGTTATTGGCTTTTTCATATGTAAGTGGATTGCACCCATGCATCTTTCACTGGACAACTAGAGAAGGCTTAGACCAGAAAGGTCCCTATGCCATACCTTAGCATGAGAACAAAGAATGCCATATATTTCATTGCCTGTAGGTTTCCAGCCCCTTCCCTAAAGACCCCAAAGATAGACCTGTTGGGTGTTGAGATATTTTGTATTCATGAGGAGGCCAAAAATAAATTGCAACCCGTTTAAGGCATCCCTGCAGGATGGATGGAGGCTAAAATGAACCAGCAGAACAGATGGGACAGAATTAATAAAAGAAATAGGAGAAAACTTACTAACAAGCCAGAATCTCAAGGAGATGTGATAAGAGTATTTAAAAAAGCATTCTAGAATTTTAAAATTTAGCTGTGGAACTAAAAAAAAAATGATTCAAAAGAACAGATGTAGAGAGGAATAGTGAGCCAAATATTACCTGAATTGAGTTAAAACCTGAAACTTCAGATTGAAAGGACACACAGAGCCCCAGACTAGTGTAGATTGGTCCAAAAGATACATATATATCCTGATAAAATGTCTTTCCAATAACGGGGGAAAAAAATCGCAGGCCTCTGCAACCACAAGGACTGTTTTGTTCTTTGCAAATATATGCTAGAAATGTGTCTAAGAGGGCCCAGATAAACAAAGATCTTACAAAGTATTATGATTTTCTTTGATTTATCTTTAAAAGCACATGAGTCTTTACAGTTCTTTTATAGTTTAACATTTTTTGCTTGTTGGTAGAACATAGACTTTAGGATTTCATCAACTCTGGAGTTTATTAATATGACTAGTTTCATCATAACCCTGTGCTAATATTTGAAACCTGAAGTATGGCATTTTAATTTCATAGGCCTGTGGGCTTTCTCCTAGAGATGTTACCACTATTAAATTACTCAATGAAACTAGAGACATGTTGGAAAGGTATGTATACTGTATGTAACAGAGAACATGTGTTTCTGTTTTGATTGTACTCTTACCATTTTTAGTCCTTCTTGAAAAACATATTCAACATAATCTCTTGTCAAAATTAAATTTTGAATCTGTTGCCCTGCCTTTAGGTAGGATTTCCTACTGAAACTAGTGGTTCTCTTATTAGGGTGGGGAGGGAAGCAGAGATTTTTTTCAGCATACTCATGCCTGGCCCACTTACTTCCCTAGCCTAGAGAGTCTATATACTAGTTGAGGGACTGGAAGATAGTGTTTATATTTTGAATAAAGCTTTCAGGGATAATTCTGGTATACCCTGTGTATACTAGTGTCTTTCTCTCTTTCTCTCTCTCTCTCTCTCTATCTTAGGATAGAATATAATGTTTCTAAAACTTTGAGTGATAAAAATTTCACATCTTGCCCTAACCAGTTTGGCTCAGTGGATAGAGCGTCGGCCTGCAGACTCAAGGGTCCCAGGTTCGATTCCGGTCAAGGGCATGTACCTTGGTTGCGGGCACATCCCCAGTAGGAGATGTGCAGGAGGCAGCTGATCAATGTTTCTCTCTCATCAATGTTTCTAACTCTCTATCCCTCTCCCTTCTTCTCTGTAAAAATCAATAAAATATATTTAAAAAAAAATTTTTTTTTCACATCTTCCCTAAATTGGGTATTACTTAGCGCTGCCGCAGAGGCGGGAGAGGCTCCCGCCACCGCTGCTGTGCTCACCAGCCATGAGCCCAGCTTCTGTCTGAGCAACACTCCCCCTGTCGGAGCCCACTGACCACCAGGGGGCAGCTCCTGCATTGAGCATCTGCCCATTGGTGGTCAGTGCGTGTCATAGCAGCCGGTTGTTCCACCATTGGGCCAAAACCGCTCTCCGACATCCCCCAAGGGGTCCCAGATTGTGAGAGGGCACAGGCCAGGCCAAGGGACCCCACTGGTGCACAATCAGGGCTGGGGAGGGACTCGGGAGGTTGGCCAGCTGGGGAGGGACCACGGGCGGCTCCAGGGTGTGTCCAGCCCATCTCGCTCAGTCCCGATCAGCCAGACCCCAGCAGCAAGCTAACCTACCAGTCAGAGCATCTGCCCCCTGGTGGTCAGTGCACATCATAGAGACTGGTCAACGGTCTGCCCCCTTTGTGGTCAGTGCACATCATAGCAAGCGGTTGGTGGCCTTAGCATATCATTAGCATATTACACTTTGATTGGTTGAGCGGCCAACCGGCCAACTGGACACTTAGCATATTGGCTTTTATTATATACAATTTTTTGTGAAGTGTTAATATGTCATAACAGAAAGATCTTGAACTTTAAATTTAAAAAGGCTTGGGTTCAAATTCTACTCCCCCATTTACTAATTTCAAACCACTGGACAAATTTCTTTATCCCTCAAGTATCCAGTTCCTCATCTGTATAGGATAATAAAATGTTCTAAATTACTGATATTTCATGATGGAATATGTAAAGCAGACCAGTAATCTATGGCTATAAGAGGATTTCTCTTTAAGAGTTTCTTCAAGAGAAGAAACACTATTACTGAAATTTTAAAAATAAATTGTACAAAATGCTAACCAATGTAAGAAAATTTAAAGAAGTGGATGAATATTCTCATTGTGTTGTGTTAGATAATAAGCTCTCTTTTTATACTAATTTTTAAGGATTGACTCCTTGATATATTTTTATAGTGTTTTAGGCTGTAAAACCTAGATTGTGACTAGAAATGGTGGCTCTCAGTGGTAGCCACAGTTCATGAATTTATTTCCTTTTCCATTGAGACTCTAAAAAGTAACTTACCCTTCTTATTTTGTGTAGTCCAGATTTTAGTACAGTTTTGAATACCTGTTTAAACCGAGGTTTTAGTAGACTGCTAGACAATATGGCTGAGTTCTTTCGACCTACGGAACAGGACCTGCAGCATGGGAACTCCATGAATAGGTAAGATAACATGTAAAAATGTTACCAGTCTAATGAATACTCTAATAAAGTAGAGCTTTGGTTCTGTTTATTTTCTGTAACAAAAAAATCTTAGAGGGTAAATTTGAATGCTCATTTTTCAACAAGTTAAACTTCATTAACCCAATTACACCTTCATGAGTAGAACTGTTTCTAGACTCAGTATTAAAACTTTAATTCCTTGTAAAAATTTTCCCAATATAGATATGTACTTAAATTGTGAAACTACCCTTCTATCAGCCAAATTCCAATTATTGGTATGTGTTTTTAACTCTTTAGAATACAAAACTGAAAATGTTTTAATGCATTCTCTAATTTTATTCCAGTTCTGCAAGCCATAATTGGCCTATATAATTCAATACTTTTGGGCATTGTAATAACCAGGCATTCCTGTAATAGGTTTCCTTTTGATAAATTATCTCCTAGTTCTATAACTACGTCAGTGTATTCATTTTGTAGAATTGAGAATATTTAGTTAGTTCCATTGTTAGTAATTTTAATTATGACTATTATTAAGTCATGGATTTATGCTGCCAAAGGTATTTTATGATTTTATTATATCCTTATCATCTTAACATAGCACTTTGGATCTCCTATTAAACTTTATAATCTTTAAGAACCTCTGTCCTTTATATTAAACTCAGAAAATAGGTATTAAATCAACTAGGGGCCCAGTGCATGAGTTCGTGCACCTTGAAAGGAACTGTGGGCCGCAAGGCTGCAGTGGGCACAGGGGCGGGTCTCGGCCCATCCTCCCAGCACCTCCTGCCACAGCCCCTGGTCCCCTCTCTGCCGGCAGCCCCGCTCCCACCGCTCCCATGCACTGATGGTGCCAGCCCCGCTCGCACCCACTTATGTCACAGAGCGATTGTGGCCAGCGCCAGCAGCAGGTGCGAGCAGGCTGGCACTATCAGTGGGTGCAGTGGTGGCTGCTGCCCCGATCATCCCTCAGGAGCTGGGGGAGGTGGAGAAGCCCTCAGGGGTGATAGAGGCTGGCAGCCGCCACTTGTACTCACTGACGGTGCTGAGCGATTGGGACCAGCGCTGGGTGCCTGCAGCATGTGCAAGCAGCGGCTCGGGCGCCAGCTGCAAGTGCAAGAGGCAGCTGCCAGCCCTGATCACCCCTCAGGAGCATGGGGAGGTGGAGAAGCCCTGAGGGGCAATTGGGACCAGAAGCTGCCGCTCCCACCTGCTTACGGTGCCAAGCGATCAGGGCCAGTGCCCGGTGCCAGCAGCAGGTTTGAGAGGTGGCTCTGGCACCAGCAGCGGGTGCGAGCAGGGCCGGCGCTGGCAGCAGGTGCGGGCGCCAGGCAGGACCGCAGCACACGGGAGCAAAGAATTTTTAGTAACCACCAGAGGCTCGCCCCGATGACAGCAACCGGTGCCCTGCCTTGGTCTGGCACCTCTGCTCATCATCCTGCCACGGACAAAGCCCACCATGTTCCGCACGTGCCCTCTGGTGTTCAGCGCACGTCATAGCTATCAGTTCGGTTGTTTGGTCTATTTGCATATTAGAGTTTTATTTATATATATTATATATATATCCAGGAGGTTTAAACAATAAAAACATAAATGAACTGATAGAAAACAAGTGAATATTTGTCTGATATCAAAATGGAGAAAAAATAATTCTAAGATTGAAAGAACTTTAGATAAATAAAATGATAGGTTTTACAAATGTAGAATTTAAAACATAAATCAAACAAGTTTATAATTTAACTAGAGGCCCAGTACACAACATTTGTGCATTGTGGGGTCGGGGGGAGGGGAGTCCCTCAGCCCGGCCTGCACCTTCTTGCAGTCCAGGAGCTCTCAGAGGATGTCCTACTGATTGCTGTCAGACATCCTTAGTGCTGCCGGGAGGCGGGAGAGGAAATAATTTGAACTAAGAACTATAACTCTTTAATATAGTGTTGAACTGGAAAGAGGCAATTGACATTCAGGGCAGAAGCCACAAGGCAAAGACTTTGAAACAGGAGGACCAAGGTTCAATTTGAGGACCTGGAAGAAGGCTGATGTGGCACCTGAACAGATGGAACTAGGGAAAGAATGGTATGAGATGGAGTTGGAGAAGTCGGCACATGCAGATTATGAGTGTTGGCTTGAAATGCTGGGGAGCTACTAGAGAAGTGAGAAAAGAGTGACATGATGGGAGTATTTTGATTGCTTTGTGGAAAAGGAATTGGGAAAGGGGAAGTTGGGGTGGGACATAGCAATGGATGAATGAAGACTTTTATTAATCAATTCAACGAGTATGTATGGAGCACACATGGTACCTAACATCATGGACCTTGTACTAATATTTTGTATGATAGTGGTGTCTTCGATTCCTATTGAAGACAAATTCACAAATAAAAAAAAAGAAACAAATCATGACATGACAGATTTTGAAAAATGGCTACATAGATACTATGAAAAGAGAATGACTAATTTCTTCAGGAGTTCATAAAACCTCCCTGCTTTTTTCTTTTTAAGCATTGCCTCAAATCTCAGCAATAGCATACTCATTAGACACCATTGCTTCAGCATTTTCATTATATTTAAAAGAAAATTTCTAGTCTAGTCTTAGGTTTAAATGTATAAAGTATGATATTTAATATAATAAACCTAAGTCTGTAACCAACACACAAAAATTCATTTTATCATTTAACAGTAATTATATCATATATAATCACACAATAATTTATTCATCTCACAAATGCTTACTGAACACAAGTTAGAAGATAATTGCTGTATTTTGGACAGGAGATAATGCTTAACTTGGACTAAGTTTGGCAGTGGGGAGAAGTAGACCCATTTAAGAAATATTTAAGATTGTGGAGAGATTGGATATACACAGGAGAAGGAAGTGCCAAGGATAATGCTCAGGTTTCCTGTTTACACATTCAGATAGATCATGGCACAATTCACTGGAATAGAGGGAAGAAACATTCAACATTGCTAGTTATTGAGGAAAATACAGACCACAACTGTGAGATACCATTTTCAACTATCAGACATACAAAGATTAAAGAAAAAATAATGCTTGACACAGAAAGAAGGCATGAAAGACCAGTATTCTCACACACTGCTGGAGAAGCAGAGGGCATTTGAAATACACATTTGAAACCTTGAAAACATTCCTACCCTTTGATCCAGTAATTCCATGTTAATACAAAGAGTTACTTATATTAAGGAAAATTAGGCAAAAACTTAAATGCCTAATTCTAGGGAATTGATATATAAATTATCACACCTAGTTTGATTACTATATAATCATTAAAAATAGACAAAAAATTTGGAAGAACATTTAATAAGATGAAAACATGCATATATGAATAAAAATTCAAAACAGTGTTACTTGGGAAGTTATAATTGTATGTTAAAAACAAAAAAAAAACAGATATGTGTAAAAATTACTGAAGGAAATTAACCATGATGTGAGTTACAGTTGTTATTTCTAGGTGGTAGGATTATGTGTGACTTTTATTTTCTTAACACATTTCTGTATTTTTCAATAGCTGCTTATGAATTTATAATTAAAATGTTAAATACATATAAGATAAAGTTTAGACAATACTAATTACTGTGATGATGTTTCAGTCTTTCCAGTGTCAGCCTGCCTTTAGCTAAGATAATTCCAATAGTAAATGGACAGATCCATTCAGTTTGCAGTGAAACACCTAGTCATTTTGTTCAGGTAAGAAGAAAGCTTTGGGATATTTGGGGTATTAAAACTAGATTGCATTAACATTTGTTTTTGTCAGTCTTTAAATTTTAACAATCTGGAAAAATATGAAGTGTTATCTTCTGTGGTCAGTTGAACATCTTTCATTGCTTGTTGGCCATTTGTTTATACTTTTTTAATGATCTGCTCAAGCTATTTCCCATTCTTTTATTGATGTGGTTTTCTCTTTACTAATGAGTTGTAGAAGTTCTTTATAAATGCTCATAAAAGTCCATTGTCAGATATATAGGTTGTATTTGAGTTTTGTTTTTGTTTCTTGGATGTTTGGGGGTTTTTTGTTTGTTTTTGTAAAGGTGTTTTTTGATTATGAAGTTTTTAAGGTTAATTAAATACACTTATTTTCTTATCTAAAAAAAAAATACAAAAACTAAATTGTATTCTTGGATATTGTCCTGTTTGTCTAATATAAAATTGCACTTCCCTCCTGTGATACTTGTTCAAAGAAATAAAAAACTTAAAATCATATGGTAAGTGTGATAGAATGCCCATGCGAGTAATAATGTATCATGGCAAATTTATGAGGTTGGGAATACCTTTCTCCATGTTATAGTCCAACACCTGACAGACTGTATTGTAGCCCTGATAAAATCTAGCGGTCAGTTGAATTTACAGTGTTAATGTTTTGCATTAAGCTGTGTTAGCATATTGAGCCTTAAGGCAGATCAGTATACAAGTCCTCAAATTTTGAGAATAGAAAAACTTTTATGGAGAAGTAAAGCATTTTAATAATTAATATAACTATTAATAATACACCAATAATTTGCTCACTAAACCTACATAGACAGTGGGCTGTTTAAATTTTTCCCTAGACTACCTATTTCTCCATCTTCTTTCTTAGGAAAGCATTTTAGAATGCATTGGTTAAGACTGATATTATTAAATGGATAACTTTAAATCCGTGTTAAGTGTTTTTTATCTGAGTCATTTGCAAACTTGGAAACTGTATTATAAGTAAAGAATTACTTGCAGTATACCTCAATTCCAAACTACCTCAATAATGTGCAGTGAGAAGAGTCCCTAGGCGTAAGGGTAAAGATGGCATCCCTCATATAAGAACCTAACCAATAAATATCTCCTAGAATTTATTATAAGAAAAAAATACTACTTTCATTAAATGGTTTTTGGGGGTTTTTTTGGCTTTAACACCATAAAACTTAGCGCTAAATTCCTTTCTTGACTGCAGAAGTGAGTTCAGATTATCTACACATTTTCAAACTGTAACATTTTGTTGTCATCTTTGTAGGATCTGTTGATGATGGAGCAAGTGAAAGACTTTGCAGCTAATGTCTACGAAGCTTTTAGTACCTCTCAACAACTGGAGAAGTGACTTTTTCCTTTCAAAAAACCTACAGTGGAATTAATTTACTTTTAAATGTACACTGAATAAGTCAACTATATAAATATAGGGTAATGATTTGTTATGAAAATGCCTAATAAAAAATATTCTGAAAGTCTTCATTCGTAATAAAAGATTTATTTGTCATCTTTATTTTTTAAAGTCATCAACAGACTAACTAGTTTTTGTGGGCGTATCTGAATGTACACAGCACACAGATCAGAATTTGTTATACCATGGATATTAGTTCCAAATGGACTGAAAACTAAATGTAGATACTTGTTTTGTATAATATGAAACTCTTTGGGAAGTAGGTGTGAAGTTTGGAAAATATGCTATTTAACGAATCAAAGTTCACTGAACTGCAGCATACAGTAGTAAATCAGACTTTTCTGCAGTTATTCCTCAAAGGAATAAATTATGTGTCTTAAATATATTTGATGGAGGACTTTGCTTTTTATAGAAATCAGTGAATTTAACAACCATGACCAGCATTCCTTTTTCTTCACTGTTGTTAACAATCCTTAGAAAAATCACATAGTGATTTAGAGGCTAAATTGTGTTGATGTCGTTTACTCACATATTATTTTAACTACATACTGTCATTCATTTGTATATAAATAACTTTAATAACTTACTTTGTATTGATTTTAAGCACAGTGGATATTGCAATAAAATATTTTAATAAAATATGGTTTTGTTAATACTTTATAGCCATTAATTTATTTGTTCCATAGCAAACTATATTTTGTTTATCCATTCATCTGTTGATGGACATTTGGGTTGCTTCCGCCTCTTGGCTATTATGAATGATGCTCCTATAAGCATGAATGTGCAAATATCTCTTGAAGACCCTACTCTCAATTATTTTGGATATTTACCCAGAAGTGGGATTTCTGGATCATGTAGTAGTTCTGTTATTAAGTTTTAGAGGACCTTCCATACTGATTTTCATAGTGGTTACACCATTTTACAATCCAACAGTGCACATGGGTTCTAGTTTCTTTACATCCTTGCTAATACTAGTTGTTTTGTTTTGTTTTTTGACAGTAGCCATTCTAATGGGTGTGAGGTGACATCTCGTGATTCTGATTTGCATTTCAGTGATTAGTGATCTTCATATTCTTGTTGGCCATATGTAAATCATCTTTGGCGTAATATCTATACAAGTCCTTGCCCATTTAAAAAAAAAAAAATTGTATTGAGCCCAGCCAGTGTGGCTCAGTGGTTAAGCGTCGATCAATGAACCAGGAGGTCACAGTTACATTCTTCATCAGGGCACATGCCCAGACTTCAGGCTCAATCTCTAGTAGGGGGCATGCAGGAGACAACTGATCAATGATTCTCTCTAATCATTGATGTTTCTATCTCTCCCTCACCTTTCCTCTCTGAAATCAATAAAATTATATGAAAACAAAAAAAAACAAACCTCCCTACAAACTAAAGCCCTGGACCAGGTGGCTTCACAGGTGAATTTTACCAAAACCAGATGATGACTACAAAGAAAGAAAATTATAGGCCAACATCCCTGATGAACATAGATGCTGAAGTCATCAACAAAATATTAGCAAACTGGATCCAGCAATACGTTGAAAAGATCATACACCATGATCAATTGGGATTTATTCCAGGGATGCAGGGTTGGTACAATATCCATAGCATTTTTGCTGTTATGTTGGGGAGACACTAGTTTTCAAATTTCACTTTAACTGGTAATATAATTGATGTCTTTTAATTTGTTTAGAAAAAAGTAGCATTTCCTTCTGAAAATAAATAATTCATTTTCTTTAGTAAATCTATAGTGCTATATTTATGTAGGAAATTAGGACAGAAATAAATCATGTATCAGTATATTAGATATACTAGTACTAGTATTTTCAATAATATAAGAATATTTTCAGTAACATCATTTTATGTTCCTCCAACATAAATGTAGCTCAATAGTGGAAGGCAGAAAATGAATTACGAAGTCTTCTAAGTCCAGGCTAGGCCTGATGCCACAGCTAGAGAGTCTATGTCTAAAATGTTAAAAAAAAAAAAAAAAAAAAAGAAAAGAAAAAGATTTAAATGTGGGAGGAGGGCAAATGCTTCTTTTCAAAATGTGACAGAATATGATGTTATTTCTAATAGGGAGATACAACAACTGCATTTTGGGAAACTAGTCAATGTGTGTATAATAGGGTGTCTCTTCCAGCAGTATTAACCCAGGATTTCGTCCAAAGAAAATTTGAGGCTGAACAGATGTGGCCTTCTAAAGATAAAGTGACCAGCTGAAAATTATCACCTACCATCATCTGCATCTGTAGTTATGGCAATTGAAGAGATGACAAGGTAAAAACCACATATATTTGAAGTTAATTGACCTTAGACATTACAAACTTGTCTTCTCTCAGTACAGTAGGAACCCTCTTGTCTGGGACCCTTAGTTGTTTGGTTAATCCAAAAAGTCACTAAAGCAGGGATCATAAAAAAATAAATAGCCCTGGCTGGTGTGGCTCAGTCAGTTGGAATGTCATCCTGTGCCTGAATGGTCACAGGTTTGATTCCTGGAAGAGTATGTACTAAAGTGTTAATAGTAGTGATCTGAACAGTGACTTTACCTTTGAGCATTTCTGTGTTTTAAAATATCTACAGTGAACATTTATTAGTTTTATTACCACAAGGAAAAAAAACAATTTTTAAAATAAAAATACAATTACTATAAGCATTGGATGTATATATTGGGCCAAATGTATTATATACCTTCCAGTAGTATTAGTCTTCTAGGATGGCCATAACAAAATGCCACCCACTGGGCAGCTTAAACAACAACAATTTATATTCTCACAGTTCTGAAGGCGGACAATTCTAGGTGTCATCCGGTTTGGTTTCCCTTGAGGCCTCACCTTGGCCTGCAGAGGGCCCGCCTTCTCACTGTATCCTTACATGGTCTTTCCTCTCTGCTTGTGCATCCCTGGTGGCTCTTCCTTTTATAAGGACACAAGTCATATTGGATTAGGGCCCCCACCCCTGATTTTATTTAACCTTAATTATCTCCTTAAATGCTGCACCTCCAAATATAGTCGCACTGGTGATTAAGGCTTCAACATTAGGAAGCAGACACAATTCAGTCCTTAACACCACCAACTGCTAGCTACTCTAAAACAAAAATTTCCAACTCTGAATTGCACATGAAATTAAATTCACTATGAAGAGACTTTAACAGCAAATATGGGGGAGAGAGAAAATTTCCTCCACCCTTCTAGGTTCTTCCAGCTGGTTTAATCAAATCAACATGAAACAGATAAGAGAAGATAATCAAATTTAATCACATGCGTGCATATGAGAACTCCACACATATGAGAGGTTCAGAGACAGGAAGTTAAAATGAGGCATTTATGACATTCTGAGCTAAGGTTGAGGAGTAAGGAAAGGCCCATGGAGGCTTCAGAGGGAGGGAGGTCTTTGCAGGATGAAGAGAAAATCAGATGCTCAGTACTTTGAAGTTTGTCCTGACCTATCATAGAAAGGTCATAAGAAGTTATTTCTTTCCACGATGTGTACAGCGACGACTGACATTTCTTTGTCAAAAATGTCTTAAGTGGGAGAACATGTGCAAGGTTTGTGATTGCAGAATTAAGTGGAGATGGTAAAGATTGTTAACTGACCCAAGAAGGCTTGTAACAACACTATTCTCGGAATTATGTGGATTTTCTCCTTTGTTTTTAATATTAATTTCTATATTAATTCTAACAAAATTAAATATCCTATCAAAGATTTTTAAGATATTCTTTGTTTACTTTGTAGATCTGTCAGTTTACTTGAAACATTAAAATGGTGAGAAATATATTTAAAAAAAAAACAAACACCAAAAATGTATCTCTGGTGATAACTCTTATTATGGGCAAGGCCCCAAATTTAAATTCCTTAAGGGAGAGATAAAAGTTTCTCATGAGCCTCAGAGTCTCAATTGCCTTCAGCTCAAAAGAATACATTCCAAAGTGGCGCATCTTGGCGAGGCCTGTTCTGAACACAAGGTCACTGGAGAGTTACAACAGTTACATGGGTAATTTAAGGAGTAAGAGGGGAAAAGGACTGTATTGCCTAAATAAGTACTTGACTTTTCTTGACCCATTTTACATTTGCTTTCTCCATGTGCTATAATTATAGAAACCTGATATTTTCTAGTCTTAGATGTAACTGCAGCATGAACCACTCCGCTGCACATTAGATCACGTTAGTTAGTGCTAGAGCCCAGCCCCATTTACAAGGCATCTGATGAAAGGTGAGATGTGGCAGTTCCACCATAATGCCATTTTTCTCCAAAGAGATCCATTTAAGTGGCTGTCCATGTCCCAGTAGCTTAACCTGAAATTAAAACACACACACACAAATGTCTCCAGGTATATCTGTGACTCGCCCACTTTATTGAGAAGGGGTGGTTGATATTCCTTAAAAGCATTGTAGACAGAAGATTCATTTTTTACTTTTATTTAGTAGTTCACAAGCTATAATTAAACATTAGATTTCAACTCCATCTTCTTTTTGGCCTGATCAACCATAAGCGTTAGAAATGAAATATGAAAATACGATGCAAGGAGAAGCATGTGGACAATTCACCTCCAAGAAAATTGTTGATTTATTTAAAATAAGCTATAAAATATATCAAAATGAATTCAATACCAGACTTAGTGGTTATAACTATTAGATTAACCTTTAACTTTCTCCAAAGTATTTTATGAACTTAACATAGTAGGGCTAAGACTTCCTCCTTTTATTCTAATGTGTTCTGGGTGGGATGTCAGGGAAAGAATACAAATTCCAGTTTTATGAAGAATCATTTCGGATGCATACAGTGAACTCGAACAACATAAAACAACTGTGCGGAAGAATATTTTACATTGATGTGAATGGAGATGACTTATCTGCTTTATAAGTTTAGTTTTCTGGGAAATGAAAAAAATTTTTCAAAGGTTCTGGCCAAATATTGCCATTAATGAAGCTCATTTTAAAATTACTCTTATGGGTAAATAAGAAGAACACATATAAGGATCTCCTTAAAGTTAAAAGTTATGTTTTTATCAGGATATTCTAGTCAACAATTTAAAGGAACAATAAAGATAAAATTCCCTCTTACCTCTGTTGACCCCAGAGTAGCTTTGGGTTGGCCAAGAAACAACTGTCCTGATGTGGGCCATTTGAGAAACATGGCATAGACCAAGTTTTCTTTAGCTTTTGATGTGTACCTGGTTAAAAGGGGAGGAAAGCATAGTAATATTTCTCATTATTTATAGGTCAGGTCTGAGTTATTTATAGAGATACTTCCATTAGGTAAATATTTACCAAGAGGGAAAGAGCTCTCACAGTGAGGAGGGGAGAGCAGGGCCACCTCAGGTAGGTGACATTGGTAGGAGCCAGACATGGGCTTTAGAGGCCTTGTCGAATGCCTTGACTTTTTATCGTTATTTATTTTTTTAAAGATATGTTTTTATTGATTTTAGAGAGAGGAAGGGAGAGGGAGAGAGATGGAAACATCAATGATGAGAGAGAATCATTGATCAGCTGCCTCCTGCATACCCCCTATTGGGGATTGAGCCTGCAACCCAGGCATGTGCCCTGACCGGCAATCGAACCATGACCTCCTGGTTCATGGTTTGCCACTCAAACACCGAGCCACACTGGCCAGGCTTATCTTTACATATTATAATAAA